TGGCCGGGTATTCTGAAGTTGCTCCGTTTTCACTAACTCCTTGAGTTGATGTTGCCAGAATAATGCTGCGAAATTTAAACTTTCCATTCTTATGAGTTGACCATAGTAAGCACAGTGAAATTTAAAAGTGAATAATCCATCGTAAAAAGCTTTTTAAAATTGCCCAGTTGTACGTAATGCACAGACAAGATGCAACGCAGTATTACGCCATCGAACACGTGGCTATTCGAGCTTGCAGTATTTGTTCAGCGAGTTTGTTTAAGTTGCAAGATCCACGAAGGGAGAAAGTGTCAAAGTCATATTTTGTGGGCGTGACTTTGGACTATTCTCGCAAGTGATCAGGATGAAGAATGTAGCCAGGAGGGTGGGGGTCTTGAGATGCCCCTGATTTCCCCCACCCCTCTCCCTTTGTGAGATAATTCACACAAATCCAGCGGGGAAAAGCTACTTCCAATACAATCTTATCATTTGGATTTGCAAAAACACCCAATTCCATAGAGTCTGCAGAGTGAAAATCTCTTACCTCTTCCACTACAAAATCACATCCATGACTGGCTATAAGGAAATTAAATGGTAGCATTAAAGGCACTTCACTACTGGTGTGCAGAAATTTGTATCTAAGAATCCCTTCCCCTTTGAAAAATCGTAGCTTTGCCTATTGTTAACCCTTTAAACCCTAAGAATGACCAGCATTTAACTTCTTCCGGTAGTAATGGTGCTGAATTATTCATTACATTTACTAGAATAAAGGAAATGATCAGCGATCTAAGAACCTTTGACTAGTAAATGAATTGTCCTGGTCAGTACCATAGGAAACGTAAAGATAGATAAAAGTATGGGGAACAAAATACAGTGATGTTCGGGTGTTAAAGGGGTTAACAAATTCTAACTATTAAGACGAGTACTTAATACTGCACCTTTAACCAGCATTAAGACTTGTAAGTACCAGGAAGATTTGAACTTCCTGGTCAATACTAAACCCTGACATATTACTATGGATGAAAGAGACATCCTAACCCTGAAGTTCTTATACTAGAATATCTTAATTTGATTTGAAGAATCAGTCATAATAACACGCCCCACTCTATCAACAGCAACTCCATATGGATTACAAAGGCTCTCTCTTGCACATTCTGCTATAAGGTGCCCATCCTCGCCTGAGAACACCAGAAGGCAATTTCTCATACTATCCGCCATCAAAATGTTGTCATTTGAATCGACAGTAATGGCTTCTGGAGCGAAAACTTTGCTAGATTTTGTGAAAGGAAGTGGAATGTGTCTCAGTGGTTTTCCATCCGTGCTCAGTACTTGAAGGGCTCCATCGTTCACCAGGGACACTACAATCTCTCCTAAAATGTAGAACGGAAGAAGATTGTATAGTTCTAAGGGTGCTTCAGTAAAACTGGTTTTTGCATAAATATCTGGCATGATAGATCAAGCGGTGGCAGCTTGCAGACAGGCCCTCATTAAAAAATAGGATCAATGGAGGAAAAAAAAGAATAGCATGCTGGGCTCAAACACTAAGAAAAAATGGCTGCGCAGCTTTTCCTTCCTATCATTTTTCACATCCAGTTACTATATATCATTGGGAAGAGCAATAGGCGTCGGGGAGAGTGTGCTTGTGACTTCGTCTGCATGGTGTAAAAAAAGTAGAGCCCTATTCCCCGCCCTATTGACAGCCAATTCAATGCTTCGTTTCGTCAGTCCACAACATTTTCGCGTTAGTGATGACGAATATCATTGTCGATGAGAGTACAGACCACGTTTGACCAGTTTCGACTTGTTTTTGTTATTGTTGTTGTTGTTGTTTTTTTTTTTACCACAATATAGACGTTTCGTCAGTCCACAACATTTTCACCTTAGTGATGACGAATAACATTGTCGATGAGAGTACAGACCACGTTTGACCAGTTTCGATTTGTTTTTGCTATTGTTGTTGTTTCTTTTACCACAATATAGACGTCAAATAAAACGATTCTCTCAGTGACAAAGGCGTTGAGTGACACGTTGACGTGAGCAGCGCCTTCTGTACTCTTATCGACAAGGACCAATCAGATTGCGACATTACTGCCAATTGTGGTAAAAAGTCATATAAGGATAGGTTATAACTGAGGTTCCATTATTATAAAAGCAAGAACCCATCGTAGATCATATTGGCTCAACTTGTTATATAAAAATAAATTGCGATTATTTTCATACCTTTCCTGTTTATTGTAACCCCTTGGAGTTTGCTGGGGAGACCATCGTCTTCATCCAAACAGCCAACTTGAAAGTGTGACAAGTACTCCCCGCCACTGTCAAACACATAAATTTTCCTATTTTGGCCATCGGTGATATAAACTTGAAGTTCTTTTTGGCTAAAGACTATATTTGAGAGTTTGGCGCATTTTTCGTCTTCGTCTTCAGGAAGTCTCAATCTTTTCACAAACTTTCCCTTGGCGTCAAACATTTGCAAAGTTCTTCCGCTCCAATCAGAGACGAAAAACCTTCCGTCGTTGCTCACAGCCACACTCAAGGGACCGCCGGGGAATTCGCCATCCCCGCTTCCTTTGTTTCCAAAAGCGAACAGAAACTTCCCGGAGGAATCAAAAATTTGCACGCGGAAATTGTTCCTGTCACATACAACGATTCTGTTTTCCTTGTCCACTGTTACACCTCTCGCGCCCTTCAGTTTTCCCGCCTCTTCCCCAGGCCCTCCTATCAGCAGCTGTGGTTGGGTCATATTTTCGTAGTCCCTCATGGCGAAAGGTACATTAACTGTGAAAGGGCTTCCGTTCATTGAGTAGCTACGGATGCTTATATGAATAAGATGTTGTCCTGGCACCAAGGGAATGTAAGAAATGTTGTGTTTCCCGCTATTTTGCGAGGTGATTTCAACCTCGGTTAGAGCACCATCCGGGGACTCGATCTGAACACTCAAGTCGGAGGTCACGCATTCAATAGGTCTTCCTTTCCTATCCCTGAGTAAACATGGAGATTTTGAAATCATTGATGCGATAATGAACAACGCGAACCCTAATATTCCAACGTTGAAAGTTGTGAGAAAAGTAGCAAATATTCAAGACAACGATAGAGTAATTAGATTTTTGACTTAAGATCTACACCGACATCTCGTCCATTAAGATTTTGAAATCTAACTGTGGGGGGGAGGGGGGTGAATTTCGGCTACAATAAAGTTTACGCGATCCCCCCTCTTAGGGCTCTGTATTATTCCAATCGTCCTCTCCTCTCTCGTTGGCAGTTAGTTTTCCACTCCCCCCCCCCCCCCGCCACCATCCTTTATACTCTGTTTGCGACGACTGATCCCCCTCCATTCCTCCTCACCACGCAACCCCCTCAAAATACTTCCAACTTTTCCCCGGTCGACGGAAAATGACTGGCTCCCTAGGAGGCCCTTTGGGGTTCTTTTAAAAGTCACCTAGAGCCCGTTTCTTAAGCCCTGGTAACTTAACGGGCCTGAAACCATATTTTAAAATCAAATTTAAGCGAGAGAAACTGAAGATTCTGGAACTCTGACCAGACCATTTTTTTTCTTTAACAGACAGTTTCTTGTATCGTTTTCAAAACCTTTGAAACCCCCATTTGGAATGAAATAAGAACAGATTCACGGGCCCGTTAAGTTACCGGGACCGAATTGAGGAACGAGCTCCGAGGCTCAAACCCAGACCTGCTCATCTAGAGATCAGTACAATGATCGCTAAGGTGACCATTAGGCGTTTTTCATGAAAGAAAGTTGAAAAAGGAAAAAGGAGATGAATATGACGACAACAAACCTGGTTATTACTGTGAAACAAACGGTTTGGTTGACATTTGCCTCATGTAGACCAGGTCCTTCTGCTGTAGAAGTCGCAAAATAAGGGTAAGAGGTATCTATCGACCCGAATGACTCAATAGCTTGTTGTAAAGCCACGTTTTCGGCAGAAAACTTGATCACGTGGTCCTCACGAGGTTGAAGTTCATAGCCCTGATTGGCAAGTGCCTCTAGTCTCTCGGACATAAGATCTTTGGCGGACAGCAAGTACACCGGATCACCTATGATAAATCAAAAAATAAAACAGTAGTGGGTGAATTTAATCTTGAACTTGCGTTCGTTTAAATTAATTTTGCTTGCGCTGGGAGCATTCGCAGAATTCTTTTCATCCAAAACTGTCAGTTTCCGAGTTTTCTAGACCAATAAAAATACTCTGAGAAGCATAGCCTGCGTTTAGCCGTTCTCTACCCCCTAACCCCTAATTTCCGATTTTTTTTTAGAGGGGAGGGTTGGGGGAAGGAAGCGGTTGTGCACTGGCTACGTAAAGCAAAACCAATGCAATTCCATATTGCTTTCGACAGGTAAAGAAAAAGTGCCATAATCTGTCTTATGAAATTTCATTTAGTAATTACCTTCTTCGAGTACTCTCTTCACAAAGCGACACGACACCTGCAGTGCTTCTCGGGATGCCTCTAAACGCCGCCTTTGTACGTCCAACGCGGTCTTTCTGTTCACTCGCACCAGTTCTACCGCGGCTCGCAGCTCGCTCTTCCTTTGTTCTAAGGCTTTGATCTTAGTGTTGATGCTGTCCTCGATATCCCGGATTATACGATCAGCTTTCATGTTCACCCGTGCTTGCATCCATTCCAGCGCGGGGACAGCTTTTTCTACTTTGATGCAAACGCTCCTAGTTTGTTCCAGTATTTGAGAGAGCCTGGGGTATAGTTTGGAGTATGCGTCCTCCAAAAACTGAGTTTGGTGTGTTTTGTGGTCTTTAAGAGCGCAATTGCGACAGATGCTTTCATTGCAAGTGTCGCAGAACAGCGCTAATCTTTCAACAGTGTGTGTTGCGCAGTAGGTTGGCCGGTTCAACTCTTTCAAAGACATGGTTTTCAGGTGCTCTGTTAAGAAAAAAAATTAAAATTTCTGTTAGAGAATGTTGTAGGAAATGAAGAAGTTTATTTTGGAAAATCAGAGTCAGAAAGGCTTTCCGCAATGGAGTGCATAGTAACCACAGTACAGGTGACGTGACGTGACGCGTAAGAACATATCTACTCGTGAAAATTTCCGGCCAGAGAAGAAAGAGAACATTCTTTCCTTGACGTTCTTTTTTCATCGTAGTTGCGAATTTTTTCTTCTAACTCACTGAGAGCTTTATTAGGCGTTCCTACTCGCCGTAATATATACTTTATCTAAAATGAGAACTTAACTGACTTTCACGGACAAAGAAAAGTAACGTGATCTGATTTCATATTTTTCTCGAGCTCTCCTTTTTTTGGGTGGCCGTTGGGTGCTATCGCGGTATTTTTTTATTAAACAGCCTTAAGGACAATAATGGAGAAAATGAAATCGAAACGGTGACTTGGAAAATTGCAAGCTAGAAATATTGACGCAGTATCAAATTCTCACGAAAATCTCAGTATTAAAGAGAGTTTAGAGAGTTTGCATTCAGATCAGTTATTCTCATCTTAAAAAACTTTAACCTCTGAGGGTGACTGGCCTCTAATTTCTCCTCACAGTATCACATTTGAATCAAATGAAAAGGTCACGAGGAGATAGGAAAAGATCGTCATTTTAAGAATATCATGATTGCTAAACAAATTCTCTTTGTCAATACCTTTGGAAACGTAAAGAGAACAGTGTGGGGAATATCAATACTGTGGTCAAGGTATTAGGGATTAAATGTATTCATGTATAGCCTGTCTCACCTAAAGAGAGAAGAACATGGCGCTTGGTATCCTTAGCTCTTTTATGAGCCTCTGCGTGCAACTCACAGAGATAAACCGAGCATTCTCGACACCGTAAATCAGCCGGTGATTCGTCCACACTGCAGTCACAAACATCACACTGGATGGCTTCCCCTTCTTGTATCCGTAGTAAGTCGAGCAGCGACACCAGGAGCGAGTTGGCGGGAAGTTTCCTCACAGAGTTGCGACTGTCCAGCCCTGATTCAAAATGACACGAAGGGCACTTAAACAGCTTGTCCTTCAGTGGTCGGTTTCGGAGCAAATTTTCAATGCACAGACAGCAAAACGTATGCAGGCATGGAAGTATTTTTGGATCCACAAATAACTTGTCACACACTTGACACGTTAGGTTTGTCTTGATGCTGCAAACAACCTCTTCTTGATCAAGAGCGTTCGCCTCTTTGTCATCACTCATTTTGCATTAAAACTGTGCAAGCTATGATCACTTTTATCGATGCAGACACGCGCAAACCAATTTTGCGTCAAGGGAAAAAGCCGCAAGAAGCAATCTAAACGGGCTGGATTATTCAATGTCTTTCTTTACATAACGTGAACCATAGGATTGTCCAAACAATTCAAAGCTCGCTCCGATGCCAACAAAAAGCAAACACGAGGAAATATTTTTGACTGACAAACGAGTTAATTTACTCGTAATCCATTCAGCGAGCACTTGATCTCTGTATACGCGAAACCCAACACGAAGCCGTCATTTCAGCCAAACCAACGACCTCTTCTTTTCAGTCGGCGAAACTCGCGGATGATTTGTTCGAGATGTGCGAGTAGTTGATATATCTTACTTTTCAGCGTGTGCCGGCAGGAGAACTTAAAAACAACAACAAACAATAACTACAGGTATTCAAATTGAGTAATTTAGTCACCGAAGTGATAGAAAACAATGGAAATTGCTTTTGTAATTGGTGATCATACTGTCACCCAAGGGATTTTGGAAGCTTTATCTTGTGAAAGCAAGACGCTGACTTAAATGCATCAAATTCTTTGTTTTCAGCTTCATTAGCTTATCGCCTGTGCCAGCGTTTCCGTTTGTAGTACCTTCGGAAACTACGCTTTTTTATTCGCTTTCATGGATGGCCCGCACCACAAAACCAAAAATATAAATCGAGACTTTTTTAAAAAGGCTGCAAGGGTGACTGTTTTAAAATGCATCGATTGAAAAGTGCAAAGTAGTAAAGGTTTCTGAAGAAACTTTTCAACTGTGTCGGTGGCGAACGAACTCTGCTGTGTTTTCATTTTAACAGGAATATATTTTGATGCAATTTTACCTATCGTCCACAAAACGTTTATGAAAGCGACAGTCAGCATGGGGCATTTTTCGTCAACGTTTTCAAAAGCTTTCGCATTAAATTCGGGTCCGGGCAAGAAACGCGGCGTTTCCAATTAAAACGATATGCTTTACCATAAAACTTTCCATTTTTGAAACCGAAATGATCTGTTTCCGTCAGCCTTCTGGACACTTTAGTACGAATGGTAGGAAGAAAATTATATTTAAAAAAAAATGTGTGTTGTGGAACGTAAACGCAACAGTAAGGCTGGAGATAAATTTGGGGAGGCGAAAACTGCTGGATATTACATGTAAAGCGTCTCGTGTTGTTGCTTCCATCAGCATTTGGATCGGACAGCCGACCACGCATCAAAATGGATGCGTTTTCAAATGTAAACGGATAAGCGTGGATTGATGAGAGGACACCAAAAACGCCCGGCCGGTGTGGAAGAAAATAATTAGTCAAATAATCTTTATGCGTCAAACATCAAAACCTAACTTCTATACGTGACATGCTGACATACACTTAAGGATCACACACGTCATTTCTACACACATATCTTTTTAAGCTACGACATAAAATTTTGCCCAAGAATTTCTGCCATAGGAAAATACCAGACTTTGATAGCCGGAAAGGAAATGCGAGAATCCGAGACCGGAATAGAATACAGTACGAGTGTGACACTCATTGATGGGTCTGAACATTTGGCAGGGGCATAAATTTTTTTCTGATCATTCCCCACTCCTTCCCATGTTTCCCGAAATCCATTTTTTCCAAGTTCCCGTTGTTCCCAGAAATCCATTTTTTTCCAAGTTCCCATTGTTCCCAGAAATTTTCTTTATCGGATCCTCGATTTTCACTAAGATTACCCTATCAAATATTTCTGGCAAACTCCATGTATAAATTATTACTTCCTCTTAGCGGCAATTTAAATCAAAAGCTAGACGCTTTCTTTCGTCTATATACTTTGAAATATTAGGGATTTCCATATTCACCAAGAAGATAATTAAAGGATGCTTTTTCTGCAAATAAGCAAACAAAATTGTTTTTTTGTCAATGAGAAAAAATGCTCCGTGCTACGTCGGTGGGCAAGTGCAACATCCACTAGCAGTTTTTATAATAAAGTTCGGATATAACGCGCGCTCTCATTGGTTGAAAGAGCGTGCTCTATGAGAGTGTAGAGCATAGAACTGAGCTAAAGCTGTCACGCCATCTGCCAAATTGAACCATGTTCGACCTTTTCCGGGACTTCTTTTTAGCTTTTTTCCGATAATTGAAAGTGAAATTTCGGAACAAGCGAGCCGGCAATTAGTAACAGAAGAACCAAAGAAAGGCTTGTAAACATACCAGGCGCCGTTATTTACGTTATTAAAACGTGGGCAGATACGAAAATCCTCAAAGGAAAAACAAAATAGACATCCGAGTTTTAAAGATTTTCACGCTCAGTTAGATTGCAAGCTTACGTACGGTAATGAAAATCAAGCACAGCCAACACTCGTATAGTCTATAGAGTTCAGAGTTCAAAAACAAAACAGAACAAAACAGAAATGATGAAAAATATAACCAAACTGGCATAATTGTTAAAATTCATACTAATCATGACGGTGTCTGAGCAAATATGATCATGCTGAAGTCCATCGCTGCTCACTTATCATGCCGATCTCCGGTCATCACAGTAAAGCAAGCCTCAGAAACTACATCGGCCGCCCTTCGAGTGAAAAAATTAGAGCTCGCTCAGATATCCTTTCCAATGTGTTGAGTGGAAAGTCACTTCAGTCACTGCAGCCGAGTTTTGCGGCGCTGTCATCCCGAGCGATCTTCATGTTCCGGTGAATTCGGCTGTCGTTCATTTAAAAAACACTCGCCTTGAACAGTTTGTTTTCTACCTTGTCATGTGAAAAAACCCGCGTGTTTTTATGAGCCATAATTCGGCTGAAGTTCACTGAACATTTAACTTCAAGATTCTGATTTAAAAACTTCAGGCAAAAGCGTTAAATTCGACCTGCCGAATTATTTTAGTTTGTAAACTATCGCAGAGTGTGAACTTTGATGGTTTTTGAACTTTGATGGTTTGACACTTTTGACAGCTTTTGTCTTGTACAGCCAATCAGATTATTTGAACCATTCTAACAGGGATTCTGATTGGCTTATTGTAGCGTGCTCTATGAGAGTATAGAGCATGCTGACGACACTGTTCTTCGCTTTGGAAATAAAGTTTGTTTTGAAAATTGAAAGTAATACATGGGGAATTTAACGGATTCTCTATTATAAAACAAATAGAGAAGCCTTGACTGTGCTCTGTTATGTTATAAAACACTTAGGAAGCGGCTAGAGCACTCAAGAAGTGGGAAGAAACACTCGACTACGTCTCGTGTTTCTCCCTACACTTCTTTCGTGCTCTAGCCGCTTCCTGCGTGCTTTATAACAGAACAAAGCACAGTCAAGGCTTCTCTATTTGTTAAATAAAGTGCTCTGCCACTCAAAACGTCAAAATTTGTCGTGGTGATATTAATTTATGTTGAAATTCCTTCCATTTCTTCTCAAAATAAGTTGAGTAACAATTATTCCTATAAAATAATAAACACGGTTTGAATAAATTATTTTACAAGTGAAAAAATATTGTATTTTTCCACGTGTGTTTGATAAAACCAATCACGTCACTCGCCTTTCACGCGACTCGGCCAGGTTGATGAATAAACGGCGAGAGGTTCACTAAAGTTCACCTCATCCAAGGTCGTTTGTCGGAATTTTTTTGGATTATGGTTGCTAAAACACTAAAAATCCGTTTTACTTTCAAACAGTGACGTTCAAACTTTTCCAGATGGGGATGAAAACGAAAATAAGGAAAGAAATACGAAAGTTACCAATCTAGTGGCTTTGGTAATGGAATTTCTCGCGGCTGAGAACGAAAATCGACAACTGAAAGATTTGCCCCAGGCCGTTTTTGGCCGTGTACTTGAAAGATTTCTTTTTTTCTTTACTTCTTTTTTCGCCGGAAGCCATTTGCTACAACGCGCTTTGATTACCAAATCAACGAAGTGCACTTTAAACTTTCATATGCGTGAAGTAAAATAACATCAAACAGGGATAAAATCAGACTCTAATTACAATGAATTATTCATAAATAAATGCACTGTTGTCATGATTTTCAATTAGTCTTACCAACGGAAGAATTAATACCAAAAACTGGTTATGGTTTTACGTGTGCAATAACGCGGAACAATTTATAAAATCATCACCTTTAGCTGACGTAAATCAGGTCTCGATCGAGACTGTCTATTTTTCCTCTATTCAAAAGTACATGTGACGTGTATTGAACTGAAAGCTGCTGATTCAGCGACGCACTTTAAGCTGAATACTTCCCTAACAATTAAAATAAAATGTATTTGCTTGTGAAATTAAGTCTTTGGGGAATTACATGGAAAGCTTCTCCAGAAATCCTGACATAGCAACATAACTTGATGGTGACATTATATTGGCTGCTGACCTTGCTTTATACATAAAAAATTAACGCCTCTGATTGCACCACCGTTTAATCTGCACGTTTTGACGCCGGAAATTCGTCAGCATCGACAGTTGAATAGGCTAACCATAGCACGTTTCATTTCTTTGAAGTCTCCCTGCACTTAACCTTTTGTCTAGTTACTAGAGATGAATTAACAATACAGGCAAATTCCTCATATAATCCAATACATTGTCAACAAGTTGGGTAGTGAGTTTTTAGAAACTGAGCGACGCGGTTCTATTCTGCATCGATATAAGACATATTCTCACCATAAGGAAATACGGAAGTGACGTTGAAAGAGGAATTTTTAAACGGCTCTGAAAAGTGAAAGGGTCAGAAAGGTTTATAAGCATCCAGCAGCTACGCTTGAATCAGTTCAGTTGAGTTTGACGTTCAGAAGAGCAACTTCGACTAATCATCTTCGATGGCAGTTTTGGTGAAAACTTGTTGCTGTGGCTGCAGCCTCCGTAAAGGTGTTATGATTCTCGGAATCTTTGGCCTGGTAAGTCCCAGCAGTTATTAAACATATAACCATCTGAAATATCCGTCTAATTTTCATACCTTAGTAGTGGTAGTACTTGATTTAACATTTTTCGCTATTTCGTACAAATCGCGAACTCTAAGTTTCGGGAAAAGTATACCTAGAGCAAAGATTAACCACGTGGAATTTTGTTACGTCGCGTTGAATAATTACACGAATGTTAGTGAATCATTTCCAAAACGTTTTTCTCTGGTTAATAACGACGATATTGCTACCAGTAAAATGTCGTAGAAAATAAATTGTCAACGTCAACGCAGAGACATATGTGCATCCTGAAATTTCTGGACGACTGAGCAACTCAGTGCAAACTTCATAACTTTTATTCGGTCAAAAACGGGCATTCTAGAAAAAATTGTTTCACGGTAAAATGAAATGTTGCAGCGGCAACTAATACTTTGAAGTAAAGAAATGATCCGCAAAAATCGCAGACCGAGAAAAGAAGTCAGAAAAACCTGAGGCTTCAACAGCATTCGAAGGTATTCCTCTCAAATACTAGTCATTCGCTGTCATCAACTGAGATACGAAACTTAACTTGGAGCGGTGCAGATTCTTTCGGGTGGTTCATTCCTTTAAAGGAATCTAATTTTTTAATGAAAATTATATTTTGACCTTGGGATGGTACTGAAGTAAAGACTCGATCAGTGGAGGTGAGCTGTAACTAAAGAAACTGAAGTGCTGAATACCTCGTGGCTAGTATGACGCGGCCTTTCGTTCCGGCCAATAGACTTATTGAATAACTTTCGGAACTTTTGAAGCCAACTCGTTGCAATCCGCACTCAAAGTTCGAGAATTCAGGATGTTCCTCTATCACAGAAGGATTTACAACCGTAGTTTTACCAGTTACAATTTTTTCAAAATATCTCCAGAAGAGAAACCGGAAAAAAAATGAAATAACACACGATTCGAAAGAAGCGCTTTCACGTTTTAGACAGTTAAAGAAAGACTAACAGCACGTTTCATTTCTCTGATGTCTCCCTGCACTTAACCTTTTGTCCAGTTACCAGAGATGAACAATACAGGCAAATTCCTCCTAAAATTCATTACGTTGTCAACAAGTTGGGTAGCGAGTTAATAGAAATTGATCGACGAGGTTCTCTAATAATTTGAAGTAAAGAAACGATCCTCTCTGGTGACCTGCTGATAAAGAAATCGCAAACTGAGAAAAGAAGCCGGAAAAACCTCAGGCTTCAACAGCATTTGAAGGTGTACCCCTCAAATACTAGTCATTCACTGCCATCAACTGAACTAAGAAACTTCATGAGTGGAGCGAGGCAAATTCTATCGGGTTCTTATTGGATAACTTTCGGAATTTTTGAAGCCAACTCGTTGTACCCCGCGCTCACAGTTCGAGAATTCAAGATGTTCCTCCATCACAGAAGGATTTCCAACCGTAGTTTTACTAGTTGCATTTTTTTCAAAATATCTCCAGAAGAGAAACCGGAAAAAAAAATGAAATAACACACGATTCGAAAGCAGCACTTTCAGTTCACCTCCAACTGTACAGTGAAATAACATGTTATAGAAACGTAATCATAGAGAATAACACGTGGGCAAGCTTAGATATGGAATTTCTCTTCTCGTGTTCAACTCGATAGCTCAATAGTGAGCGCGGCGAACGAGTGAGATGTCGAGTTAGATGTTATTGACTTTGTCCTTAGCGAAAGAAGCATTTGGAAGTCACTGATATACTTTTTTTTGTCACACACCGCGTGACAAACGTGTGATAAAGAATTACACGTCATGAAAAAGGAATTTAGCCAAGAGTTGGTAAACAGCACGTCCTATCGTGATTAAGAGGATAGTTATTCGATGGATGATCTGTAGAGGCGTAGTTCGAGTGAACATTACCAGTTTATCCCTCGATCGCGTAAGAAAAGTCTATGTGACTGAATTAAATAATTAAATATAACATTTTATCTTATCTGTTTCCTTGTGCCTGAGGGAACTTAGGGATCACGAACAATAATCAGGAACATTCTTCGCGATACACACATTGTCTTTGATTATCCTTATCACTTAAGACAGATATAACATTAAAAAAAATTGTCTAAAATGTTCAATTTGTGTTCGACTCATGTGAGTGGGAAAAAAAGAAAAGAAAACATAAGAGATATCGACAGAATTGATTGCAAAACCTGAGCACCGAAGCAAGCACGTTTATAAATTAAACGAGGCAAGTAAAGTGACCCTGATGTCAATTGATATTCCGCAATGTAAACAATTCTACGTTTTTATAGTCACGTTAGCGATGCTGTTGATAAGCGTTCATTACATTTTCAGTTCGAGATTTTTTCCCTTTTATTCAAAGGGGGGGGGGGGGGAGCGAGGCGGGGGAGGGGAAAGGGGGAAATGTCGAGGGTTCGAATTGATCGGCACACAAATATTTGCAGTCCAACTGTGTTTTTATGTTTGAAACATAGCTTTTTCCTTCCTCATCACAAATGACTGAGGTTAGTTTGAAATTCAAACCTTCGCATGTTTTTCTGGTTAATTCAAAAGAGAGCTATTTATATTTGCTGTGGTATATAAAAATCTGATCTGTAGTTGCGTTTCTTTTTATATTTCAGATTGCATCAGCTTATTCAATTTATCAACAAAGTCAGTCCATCAAAGTTTACAAGCATATAGAGGAGAACGCTGACGAAATCAGCAAAGATTTACCTTTCAGCAAAAAGCATCTCTTGGGTATTACAGTTTACTTTTGTCTTGTTCCAAACAAACCTGTTAGGAAGATCATGTGGTTAGCTAGGACGAAAATATTTTCATTTGTGAGATTATACATGGAATAGTGTGGGTTTTCTTAAGTGACTCTAATATACATTTTACATTAGTTCGTGACTGATCTTGTGTGAAAATGAAAGTTCCACCAATACTTTTTAAAAATGTTCAAACCTTTTTCTGCCAAACGAACCGTCCCAGTCGACAAGGTTCTCTCTCATTTTCTGATTATCTTTTCACTGATTAATTGATTGATGCACCTTTTTTTAATGATCATCTCTAAATATAGTGATCGTCAGATTGGCTTATGTTTCCCTGGTATTCGGAGTCATCTCACTGTTGGTGAACCTGTTGCTTCTGGGATCCTGTAGCTCAGTAAGTCCAACACACTAATTCTAAGAGATTCTGAGATTTTAGCACGTAACATAAAAGGAATTTTATAGGACAGATAATTCCAAGGACAAATGTACGAGCATATTTTGGCGTTGAACGGAGGCTGTTGTGTTTGTTATCATTAAAATATTTTTGCAACTTTCAACGGACGGGAAAATGTTTACGAACAGCTTGCTGTTTGCTTCGTGAGATGTTCACTTTTCAGAGCTCTTTGGTACGACTTTATGAACAAACAAACCTCTCATCTTGTAACAATACCTAGACGCTCTTTCGTCTTGAATTCAATTATGAATAAATACCTTCATAGCCCTTGATGTATGGTTTGGAAAATGGGGAGTATTATGATTATATGATGCGTTTAGACCAATCGCGCGCCAGAAAAGCTTTGATAGCAGTGTATTCGAATGATAATCTCACATTAATTCAACACTTTAAAAATAAAAATGGAAAAAAAAGGTTTATATGACTGCAAAACACAAATCATCAAATTAATTTGTGGTTTTCGCTTCAAATCGACGATTTTTCTTTTTGATTCGACCCAAACAGTCGCAGCTTGGAGCATTGACTTTTTATTTAATTATTTGTTAGTTTACTGATCATCGTTTTTTTTCGTCGCAGGGTGACAAGCGTTTGGCATTTCCTTGGCTTGGGTGGAGCATATTCCAGCTCTTTTTCAGTTTTGGAGTGGTGATATTTTACATTGCCATCTGGGAGGGGGTAAATTGAAACAACCTTTTTTTTTATGAATTACTAAGAAAGAGTTTTTCAACAAATTTAACTTGATTTCTGTTTCCTTCTATGTTACAGTTTGCCGCCTTCTTACTTATCGCGAGCATTGCATGGTTGCTTTCGGTATGTTCTATTTCAGTCTTAAAGCAATTTCTTTTTGAGAGTGGAAAAAAAACCCCGAAATTGGATTGATTTTGCCTTGGCTCTGTGATTGGTTCAGAAATCTCACGCCACTAAGCAATCAGACGCAAAATTAAAACTAATCACGACTTAGTCGCCCTGGTTTTCCCGAGCTTCAGGCACTCCAGTTGTTTTTACCTTAATTTATAGCTGCCACTTCTAAGTGTTTTCATTTTTTCTGATTACTTGGCCGGTTTTGGTTTTACCACACTCAGTTGAAAAGCACTCTCTTCTCCTGTTCATTTTACTACATACTCTTAAATTGATGATGGCCTGGGTCTGAACTCATCGCCTCCCTCTTTTTTCTCCAAGATCTACTTCATCGTGGTGGTGTATTCGTACATCGAAGCCCTTCGTGAAGATCCTTCGGGAACGAGTGCAGGATTTTCTCCCCCTCTGCCAGGCGGTAACCAAACCCAGAGGGTAATTACATTTCCGTTGCTGTAATGCTACATGACCTTCGCAGTCAAATTTGCTATGAATATTTTTGTGTTACTGAGCAAAAGTACGCTACGATAGCAGATGAACTAGCATTCCATTTAAAGGAAAAGGTGGTCGCTCTTCGACTGCCGAAGCTATTAATATTGGTAATGGGGGCGAGAGGAGTCCAATTCAGTCTATAATCCTACGAGTGATTGAGAAAATCGGACGACCGCGAAGCTATCAATCTCGTGATTTATCAATCACGAGTATGATTACAAACACAATTGGACATCAGAAAGTCCTGTTACCGATAAATCATAACCATTACAATTTCCAGAAAAAAAAACCAATACATTTAGGACAAACCTCTCCGCTAGAGACAATGTCTTAAGTAAAAAAATTCTTCAGACTGGTAGACGTATCCAGACTGATAGTTCGACTTGAGAATTCTTTTATCCGAACAATTACTTTTCCTGCGAAGCAATTTTTAGCTATGTAGTGGCTAAGTTCAAACTGCTCACTTCTCTGCCTCTCAGTTTACCTTGAGCTGCGCTTTCTGAATGGTCAACTGGTTTTCCTAAGAGTGATTGATATTTTTTCTCAACAATTAACAATTCATTTCAAGAGATTATAAACTATTACCCCATTCACACCAGCAAAACATGTTTTGTTAAACTGGTTTTCATTGAATGAAAATTATCGAACTCTTGATTTTCCATTGGATTCAAGTACTAGCTCTTGTATTTTGTGCTACATTCAAGTCAAAAATATTGTTAAATAGTTTCTATGAAGAAAAAAAAAATTAAACTGTGTTTAACAAAACAACTTTTAAACATGTTTAAGCTTTGGTGTGAATGGGGCATATGTTCTCTCGTCTACTTATTCTATTTGGGAATGAAATTTAAGTAAACCAATGACCACGTTGTGACCTGCAAGAAAGAAAACAAAGCCAACTAGAGTTCGAGCCAGTCAGCAAGGTGAGCACGCAAGACGTCTATTAGGATACTGCTTGGGAACCTCTCCCACGCGCGCTCATATCGTTTGCTAGCTCGAAATGCGCAGTCCGCCTCTCGCGTCACACTGCCGATGAGAGCATGCTCGTAAGCTAACCACAGAATATATATATATATATATATATAAAGTGTAAAATTTTGACTTTCGTAAAACAGTGCTCAATATATAGGAGAAGAGCGATGTATATATATAGTTTGTCTAGTTTGAGCACTCTGGCATGGCTTAGATGATTCCACATGTGTGAGATCACTTGGGGTGGCTCTATGGCCTTACCTCCATCCTAGCATCAGCACTGCACTGATGAAGCCCAGAAGGCCGAAACAGTACTGTCTGCAGTTATATATATATATATATATATATATATATATATATATATATATGTATATATATGTATATATATATCAAAATTTATTTTTTCTCATTTATACCAAAATAAGATCAAGCGAGCCCAGTTGTAATGATTTATCGAAGAAGTTTTTTTTCTCTAATTTTTTAATTTTTTAGATCTTTTTTTTATCTTTTTACAGGCTGGAATGGGACCCCCTCCATACGCAGTATCCCAGAAGGGCACCGTGTAAATTCAGCAGAAGATTGTGACTGTCCCAAGAGATTACTGATCACCGTTTTAATTTAAAATAAGTTATTAGAGAGGCTAAAAAACTTGAACTGAGTATAGCTGTAGAGAATATTTTACTCTGATTTAAAGCGAGTAGGAGTAAGGGATCGGTTAATATTTACCGTCTGGGGGTGGGTCAGAGGAGTTTGGTTGTGTCACAATAAAATTTAACCCCCTTCCGCTGTTGCAGTCAATTTTTTATAGTCACCCCCCACCCCCCACCCCCCCTCCTTCTCCCGCTATTAAACTTTGGAAAAACAACGGAACCAGTTTAAAGACTGTCACGACAATATTTTCTTCAAAGACAGTCAATGATCTTACGGAAAGTATCATTCACTGCTCGTTTGTTTAGATTGTTCCAAAGTTGGTTGGAAGCCTTTTAAATCACCTTTATCATTACGCAAATGAAAACGTTTCGGTGAAGTATCTCTTATATTTGCATTACATCTATGTTAACTACCATTTACTCGCTCGAAAGTTGTTCGGTTTATGGAAAATCTTGCTGTAATTACAGCCATGAATTATTCGAGTTCTTCTGGAAAGAATTTCGTTAAGTTTAAATAAAAAAAATAAAAATGTTATTCACCAGCCTAGGTCGGTCCGTATCGGGAAAAACTGGGCCTTCAAGACCTCGAGCACAGTTTTCCCTAATACAGATCTCCCAGCTGGCAAATAAATAATATATATTTAGTACAGGTAGATCTCGGAACTCAAATTTTTTTCAAGGAGTGAAACGGAAAAAGATCCGCATGCGCACTACCCCCTCCTCCCCAGGACTCCAACCTCGCCTACTTAATAAAATGATTTTGGAGAAAGATCATCGCTTTCTCGCCGCAGTTTATCATAGATGGATTTAGATAATGTTGTTACGAGGGAATTTGCGCCGATTAACGCTGTTTCGTTCCTATTTACCACAGCAAAGAAGCAACGTATGCGTTAAATCCCTTAAATGTATCAAGATAATATCAAATGCTCAAGCACACTATTTCAATCTCCTGCTGCCTTGGGACAGCTGTTGTGGCGCTCTTTTGTGTTACCAAGCCCAGAAAAAAAAGCTAGAAGTAGATTTAACACACTTAATAAAATGAAAAGGCTTCATTGAGTTATTTACTGGCGGTTTATAGCTAATATTTCTTAATTTCAGTAGAGACCATTACGCGATGTCAATTTCACAATAAACCTTGCACGTGTAGAAAAGTTAATCGGTAGATTTCACTACATATTTCATGGTTGTTCAAACAAAAACTTACTCTTCCCTTGTATCGAATTAAAATGACCTTAATCCATCTCTGATAAAACAGCGACGAAATAGCGATGGTCCTTTTCCAAAATGTCTTTTTTCGGACGACGAAACGACCTTTCGCCATATATTTCTTTCCGACGACTTGCAATGTTTGCCTCGCACCGATCCCAGAACTCTTCGCGAAAACATAAGGATCCGATTACTGGCAACTCATTCATTGCACCAAGTCTTGATAGGTTTCCAAAGGCTTTCACTACCTGTTCAGCAATTAAGGTTACAAGCTTTCATTATTTACGGCCAGGCTTAATTGGTGAGAGAAAACGGGTAATTACTGCGATAGAAAAATTCAAGATTAAACTTTCTATTCTTCATGGATGTAAGCCTTGGACAAAGTCGCACCATTAGGATACACGGAAATTGAACGAGGAATTTTTTTAGCGGATCTCAAAATTGAAAGGTTCAGAAAGGTTTAAAAGCATCAGCAGCTGCGCTTGAATCAATGTAGTTGAGTTTGACGTGCAGAAGAGTAATTTCGACTTATCATCTTCGATGGCAGTTTTGGTGAAAACTTGTTGCTGTGGCTGCAGCCTTCGTAGCCGCGTTGTGATTCTCGGAATAATTGGCCTGGTAAGTTCCAGCTGTTATTAATCGTCTAACCATCTGAAATATCCTTCGGCTTTTCATACCCTAGTAATAGCCTGAGTAATAGTAGTACTTAATTGAACGATTTTCGCTATTTCGTAAAAACCGAGAACTTTCGTTCCGCGAAGCGTATACTTAGAGCAAAGATTAACCACGTGGAATTTGCTAAGTCGCGTTGATCATAAACAATTACACGAATTTAAGTGCATAATTTCCAAAACTTTTTTTTTTTTGAGGTCAAAAACGGCTGTGTTGTTATCTGTAAAATGCCATAGGAAAAAAAAACTATTTACGTTAACGCTGAGACATATGCGCATTCTGAAATTTCAGGACGAGCAACTACAAACTTCATAACTGCTACTCGGTCAAAAACGAACATTCAAGCACTAATTGCTTTACGGTAAAATTAGATGTTGCAGCTGCAACTTATATTTTGAAGTAAAGAAATGATTTTCACCGGTCGCCTGCTGATAAAGAAATCGCAGACTGAGAAAAGAAGCCTGAAAAACTGCGCGTAATATTGAAGAAAGACTCGATCCGTGCATGATATTTGCAACTAACGAAACGGAAGTAATTAATAACTCGCGGCTGGTATGACGCCGCGTTTCGTTTCGGGCACTAGACTTATCGGATACCTTTTGGAATTGCCAACTCTTTGCACTTCGAGCTCGAGAGGGTGGGGGTTAGATATTAAGGCTTCGAATTGACCGGTGAACAATATTTGCAGTCCAAGTGTGCTTTTATGTTTGAAACATAACTTTGCCTCTCCCTTCCTCATCACAAGTGACTGAACGTAGTATGAAATTCAAACCTCCTTCACATGATCTGCTGGTTAATTCCAAAGAAAGCAATTTATATTTGCTGAAGTATATCAAATCTGATCTGTAGTGGTATTTCTGTTTGTATTTCAGCTTGGATCAGTATATTCAATTTATCAACAAAGTAATTCTATCAAAGTTTAAAAGTATCGAGAGGAAAACACCGACGAATTCGAACTCAGCCAAAATTTGCCTTTCAGCAAAAAGTATTTTGTGGGTATTACAGTTAGGCTCCATAAAAATCTGTTAGAAAGAACACGTTGTTATGACGAAAATATTTTAATTTGTGAGATTAATCGTTGAATTGTGTGAGTTTTTTATTGCCCTTCACATAAATTTTTCATTGGTTCGTGATCTTGTATGAAAATGAAAGTTCAACTAATATTTTAATAAAATGTCCAAACCTTTTCCTGCGAAACAAACTGTTCCAGTTAAGCTTCTGTCTCATTTTCTGATTATCTATTGACTGATTAATTGATTGATTGCTTTTTTTAATGATCATCTCTAAATAAAGCGATTGCAGCTTGGCTTGTGTTTACCTCGCATTCAAAGTCATCTCATTATTGATGAAACTGTTGCTTCTGGGATCCAGCTCAGTAAGGGTGAACCAGAGAGGTTTGGTTGTGTCAAAATAACATTTACCTGACTCTGTACTATTCTAATGACCCCCCCCCCCCGTTTGCGGTCCGTTTTCTATACTCCCCCTCCCCGCCTTATACTCTGTTAGCGACGACTGATCCCCATTCTGTTCCCCCTGAAACTATGCGATCCCCTAGAAAGACTCTGCCCACTCCTTCCCCCCTGAGGATAAACATTGACTGATCTCTAATGGTTCTAGGGAACATTTGTATTTGTAAGAGTTAACACTTAAATGTAACTTGAAACAAATTTCTAATCAATATGTATATAACCCTAAGCAATTTTAACGTCATCGTGGGGTAATTAAGCCTTTAAAAGGTAGTAATATGGGACAGTTATTTAGGATTTTCATCGTTGTTATAAGATGAATGAAATTAAAGTGTTAAAATATTCGAAGTGATGCGAGAAACTAGATTCTTCGAAGTCTAAAAAGGTAACGTAGATGTATATTGTAAAAGTAAAATGGCCGATACGTTTTGCATTATGATACAAGGGTTAACTTTTGTCAAGAGCCCTATAATAAACTGCTTTTTGATATACTTGTTTAAATTATATATTTTTCTGAAAAAAAAAAAGGGTCAGAAGAAAAAAAAATGCTGTTAATATTACCATTTATTTTTTTCTTGGAGAGCACGGTAACGAATCCTGCAATCTGATTGGTTCTTAGCGCGGTCCGTGTTTTCATATCTCTGCCTAAGGGCACGGTAACGTTTTCGTGAGTCGCCGAGTACATCCTTATCTTTCGTTGCCATTTTTTATAAATATACCTCGTTTTCCCGGCTGTGCAGTATTTTTAGGCAAAACATGTTGGTCGCTACCTCAAGCCGATGAATAACTTATTAATCCTCCTTTCTCTCTCTCAAATCGCGTTGGTTGACAGAGAAATATTGGTCTCAAAATGAATTTGTAGAGCCAAAATTGTCATAAATTGGTTGACGAGCGGCCTGAAAAGCGTATTTGTCATATAAACTACAAGGATTTCCTGCCCTGAGAAAAGCCGTAACAACACACTCGAAAATATATTGTATTTTTTGACATGTGTATAATATCGCCAATCAGTTGCTGACACGTCACTCGCCTTTCGCGCCTCTCGGTCTGGTCAATGAACGGCGAAGCTTTCACCATTCTCAATCCAAGGTCGTTTGTCGGATTTTTTTCGGATTATGGCTGCTAAAACACTGAAAAACCCGTGTCGCTTTCAGACAGTGGCGTTCAAGCTTTTCTAGAAGGGGAAGAAAACCAAATTACGGAAAGAAATACGAAAGTTACGAATTCAGTGGCTTTAGTAATGGAATTTATCAGGGCTGAGAACGAAAATCAACAACTGTGTACCTGAAAGATTTCTTGTGTTACTTCTTCTTTCGCCGGAAACCATTTGTTACAACGCACCTTGATTACAATATCAATGATGAAGATTTTTCCCTTTCGTACGTGCATGAAGTAAAATAATTCGACCATTAAATGAAATAAGCGGTAACATTAAAAAAATAATAATAATAAAAAAAGCTGTTTTTCATTTTTAAAATGTTACCGCTATGTCGCGCGAATAAAATCAGACACAAATTCCAATGAATCGTTCACAAATAAATGTGCTGTTGTCACGATTTTAATTTAGTCCTACCAACGGAAGGTTTGCGTGTACAGTAAAACGGAACAATTTATAAAAGCATCATCTTTCGCTGAAGTAAATCAGTTACCGATCGAGACTGTCTATTTTTCCTCCATTCAAAAGTACACGTGACGTGTATTGAACTGAAAGTCGCTAATTCAGCGACGCACTTTAAGCTGACTACTTCCCTAACAATTTAAATAAAATGTATTGGTTAAGTTTGTGGGAAATCACATGGAAAGTTTCTTCAGAAATCCTGATATAGTAAAATAACTTGATGGTGACATAATCTTGGTTGCTAACCGGACTTCATACGTAAAAAAAAAAAAACGCCTCTGAATGCACCACCGTTTCATCTTCAAGTTTTGACGCCAGAAATTCGTGAACATCGACAGTTAAAGATAGGCTAACAGCACGTTTCATTTTTCTGAAGTCTCCCTGCACTGAACATTTTGACCAGTTACTAGAGATGAACAATACAAGCAAATTCCTCTTACTAATTCAATACATTGTCAACAAGTTAGGTAGTGGGTTAATAGAAATTGATTGACGGGGTTCTATCTATTCTGCATCGATATAAGACAAATTCTCACTATTAGGATACACGGAAGTTAAGTTGAAAGATAACTTCTTTAAACGAATCTCAAAAGTGAAAGGTTCAGAAAGGTTTAACCATTTAACTCCCATAAGTGACCAAGACAGAATTTCTCATTTCAATATCAATACAGTGTCAAGCAGACAAGTGATGGGAATATATAAAAATATCAGTTAGGGGATTATAAGTTGATCCAATACCAAATTCTCCAAACGAACATCACAAGAACTGTATGGCAGACAATAAGGAGATTTACTAATGAGATCTTCAAAAGTGAAAGGTTTAGAAAAATTTAAAAGCATCCAGCAGCTAAGCTTGAATCAGTTGAGTTGAGTTTGACGATCAGAATAGTAACTTCGACTAATCATCTTCAATGGCAGTTTTGGTGAAAACCCTTTGCTGTGGCCTCAGCCTTCGTAAAGGTGTTATGATTCACGCAATCTTTGGCCTGGTAAGTTCCAGCAGTTATTAGCGTATAAGCATCTGAAATATCCTTCTGCTTTTCATGCCTTATTAATGGTAGTACCTGATTTAAATCACGAACTCTAAGTTCCGGAAAAAGTATACTTAGAGCAAAGATTAACCACGCGAAATTTTGTCACGTCGCGTTGATAATTACACTATTTTCTGTGGTCAATAAGGACTATATTGTTACCCGAAAAATGTCGTTAAAAATTTTTTTTTCAACGTCAACGCAAAGACATGTGCGCATTCTGAAGTTTCAGAACGACTGAGCAACTCAGAGCAAACTTCATAACTTTTTTTTCGGTCAAAAATGGGCATTTTAGAAGAAATTGTTTCAAGGTAAAATTAAATGTTGCAGCCGCAACTAATACTTTGAAGTAAAGAAATGATCCTCTCTGGTGACCCGCTGATAAAGAAATCTCAGACTGAGAAAAGAAGCCGGAAAAACTTAAGGCTTCAACAGCATTCGAAGGTGTAGCTCTCAAATACTAGTCATTCGCTGCCATCAACTTAGCTACAAAACTTCATGAATGGAGCGAGGCAAATCCTATCGGGTTCTTCATTCCTTTTAAGGAATCTGATTTTCAAATAGGAAACATATTTTGAGCTTGGGATGATATTGAAGAAAGACTCGGTCAGTGTAGATGAGCTGTAACTAAAGAAACTGAAGTACGGAATACCTCGTGGCTAGTATGACGCGGCCTTTCGTTTCGGCCAATAGCCTTATTGGATAATTTTCGGAATTTTTTTAGCCAACTCGTTGCACTCCGCGCTCACAGTTCGAGAATTCAAGATGTTCCTCCATTACAGTAGGATTTCCAACCGCAGTTTTACCAATTTCAATTTTTTCAAAAATATCTCCCGAAGAGAAGCCGGAAAAAAATGAAATCACACACAATTCGAAAGCAGCACTTTCAGTTGGGCCCCACATCCAACTGTGCAGTGAAATAGCATTTTATAGAAGCATAATCATAGAGAACAACACATGGGCGCGCTTAGAAATGGAATTTCTCTTCTCGTGTTCAACTCCATAACTCAATAGTGAGCGTAGCGAGCGAATGAAATGTCGAGTTGAACACGAGAAGAGAAATTCCATATCTACAAGCAACCATGTATTATTTTGTTGATCATATAAACACAATAGCACTCCACATGGAAAAGTTGAATTAATCAATGAAAATAGAAGAATCGACAATCCCCGACTAAAAATTGTAAAGTGTGTTGACACTTAGGCTCAAGATGAAAAATGCGTTGAATCATTACAAAAACAACCATGGGCCTAATTTGAATAAACAAAATTCTCAGTTACTGAATTTGTCCTTAGCGATAGAAGAAGTCTTTCAGGTACACAGCTAAAAGCGGCCGGTGGCAAATATTCCATTTATCAATTTTCGTTCTCAGTCACGAGAAATGTCGTTACCAAAGCTACTGAATACGTAACTTTCGGTTTTCTCTACGTATTTTGGTTTTCTTTCCCTTCTATTCAAGTTTGAACGTCACTGTCGGTAAGCGGTGCGAATTTTTCAGTGTTTAAGCAGCCGTAATCGGAGAAAATTCCAAAAAAAAACCACGGCAGATATAGAATGATGAAGGCTTTGCTGCTCATTCATCAACCTGACCGAGTGGCGCGAGTGACGTGTCAGCAGCTGATTGGCGATATCAATCACATGATGTTGAGGGTTCGACTTGATCGGCACACAAATATTTGCATTCCAACTGTATTTTTATGTTTGAAACATTGCCTCTTTCTTCCTCATCACAGATAAATGAACTTAGTTTGAAATTCAAACCTCTGCATGTTTTTCTGGTTAATTCAGAAGAGAGCAATCTATATTTGTTGTGCCATATCAAATCTGATCTGTAGTTGCATTTCTTTTTATATTTCAGATTCCATCAGCTTTTTCAATTTATCATCAAATTTATCTCATCAAAGTTTGCAAGCAACTAGAGGAGAACGCCGACGAGCTCAGCCAAAATTTGCATTTTAGCATAAAGCATATCTTAGGTATTACAGTTTTCTTTTGAGGGGCTCAATGGGGCAATGGCTTTTACGACTAACGGTTAAAATTTTGGTCAATTTACGGCTAACGGTAAACCCATTTCCATTGTTTCCACCAAAATATCTTTTTACGATTAACTTTTTTTACGACCAGCTGTTAAAATTTGTCAGTTTTTACGCCTAACGGCTAAATTTTAAGGCTGTGTTACGGCGAACTGTTAACCCCATTGAGACCCTCACTTTTGCCTTGTTCCGTAAGAACAGAACACGTGGTTAGTTAGGACGAAAATATTTTCATTTGTGAGAGTAGACGGGGAATTGTATATATGTATATATATATATATATATATATATATATATATATATTTTTTATTTTTTTTATTTTAGTGACTCTGATATGTATTTTACGTTAGTTTGTGATCTTGTGTGAAAATGAAAGTTCAACTAATATTTTTAAAAATGTTAAAATCTTTTTCCGCAAAACGAATAGTCCCAGTCAGACAAGGTTCTCTCTCATTTTCTGATTATCTTTTGACTGATTCATTGATTGATTTACTTATTTTTAATGATCATCTTTAAAATAAAGCGATCGTCAGGTTGGCTTATGTTTTCTTCATATTTGAAGTCATCTCACTGTTGGTGACCCTGTTGCTTCTGGGATCCTGTTGCTCAGTAAGTCCAACACTTATTCTAGGCACGTGATTTAGCTTAGCGTGTAACTGAAAAGAATTTGAGCAGATAAAAGATTATGATAAAATTTGTCTCAGGGGTACACAAGAATTCTTCTTTAAGAATTTAACACCAGTCGGTAGATTATGCAACGAAAACGGCTTTTCTAAATCTTAATTTCATTAATTAAGGTTTTGTTTCTCTGAATAGATTTTTCACGTTCGTTTGTTTTTCTTACATTTTCATGCATTAGGTAAACGATGATCACTATTTGGCGCAGAAATATGCACGGATACTTGTCAATAAACATGATCTCTTCCGAGAGGGAAACCGTGAGCCCCGAGGGACAGATAATTCCAAGGACAAATATACGAGCATATTTTGGCGCTGAACGGAGGCTGTTGTGTTCATTATCATTAAAATATTTTTTGCAACTTTCAACGCACGGAAAATGTTAACGAACACCTTGCTGTTTGCTGCGTGGAATGTGTAATTTTCAGTGCTCTTTGGTACGACTTTGTGAACAAACAAACCTCTCCTCTTGCAGCAATACCTAAACGCTATTTCATCTTGAATTCAATTATGAATAAACGCTTTCATAGTCCTACATGTATGGTCTGAAAAAATGGGGAGTATCACGATCATGCGATGCATTTAGACCAATCGCGCGTCAGAAAAGCTTTGATAGAAGTGACTGTATTGGAATGATTATCTCACCTTAACTCGACACGTTAAATACAAAAAATGGAAAATGTTTTAATCACTACAGAACACTAATCGTCAAACTTGCAGCTTTCGCTTCAAATTCAGTCGCCTATTTTTCTTTCTACTCGCCATGGCGACCCAAACAGTCGCAGCTTAGAGCGTTGGCTTTTTATTTGATTATTTTTTAGTTTACTGATCATCTTTGTTTTTCGTCGCAGGGTGACAAGTGTTTGGCATTTCCTTGGCTTGGGTGGAGCATCTTCAAGCTCTTTTTCACTTTTGGAGTGATGATGTTTTATATTGCTGTCTGGAATAGGGTAAATTGAAACAACCCTTTTCATTTTTTTTTTTATAAAACACTAGTGGAGAGTTTTTCAACGAATTTAAAATGAATTCTGTTTCTTTTTATGTTACAGTTTCCCGTCTTTGTAATTGCTTACATCAGTGGATGTTTGCTGTGGGTATGTTTTGTTTCAGTCTTAGATCAACTTCTATTTAGAGTGGAAAGAATTCGAGATTGCATTGCACTGGGTCTGACCTCATTGCCTCTTTTTTGTTTTTTGTCTTTTTGTTTTTTTTTTCCTAAGATCTACTTCATCATGGTGGTGTATTCGTACATCAACGCCCTTCGTGAAGATCCTTCGGGAACGAGTGCGGGATTTTCTCCCTCTCTACCAGGCGGTAACAAAACCCCAGATGATAATTATATTTCCATTGTTGTAATGCTACATGACTTTCGAAGTCAAATTCACTATGAATATTTTTGTGTTACTGAGCAAAAGTAGGCTACGATGGAAGATGGACTAACATGTTACTTAAGAACAAAGGTGGTCGATCTTCGACACGAACAATTGAGATTTTTTTTTAGCAATTAACAATCCATTTCAATAAATCAAAATCCTTATTCTCTTGTGCATTTATTCTATTTGCGAATGAAATTAAATAAACCAATGACCACATTGTTACCTGCGAGAAAGCAACAAAACCCAGTAGAGTTGGAGCCTTCCAGCAAGGTGAGGACGTAAGAGTTCTATTACAGTACTGCTCGAAAACCTTCCTCGCGCAAGCGCGCCCACATCGTTCGCCGGCTCGAGAGGCGCGGTCCTTGCCATTCGTGTCACACTACCAATTAGTTGACCACAGAGTATAAGTAAATAAATAAATAAATAAATATATATATATATATATATATATATATATATGTATATATATATATACATATGTAATGAGTTATTGAAAGAGTTATTTTTCTTCTTTTTTATTATTTCACAGGCTGGAATGGAATCCCTTCTGTAGACAGTGCTGTCAGTATTGATCCCCTTATTGATCCTTGCTCAGTACCCCAGAAAGAATATGTGTTCCCTTAGAAAAAAAAAAACCTCTGCCCACCCCATCCCTCTAAGGATAAACATTGACTGATCCCTATCGGTCATAGGGAAAGTTTATATCTGTAGGAGTTAGCATTAAAATGTAAGTTGAAACAAATTTTGTAACCAATATATAACGTCATACGAATTTTAGCTTTATCGGGGGAAAATTCAGCCTTTAAAAAGTAGTAATATGGGAAAGCTATTCAGGATTTTATCGCTGTTAAATGAAGTTAAAGTGTTAAAATATTTAAAGTGATCCGAGAAACTAGTTTTTTCAAAGCTTAAAAAGATAACGCAGATGTATATTGTAAAAGTAAAATAACCGATACGTTTTGCATTATGGTACAAGGGTTAACTTTTGTTCAGAGCCCTAGAATAAACTGCTTTTTGGTAAACTTGTTTAAATTTTGTATGTTCTTGGAATAAAAAGCTTAGAAAAAATACTGCTGTTGATATTACTATTATTTTTTTTTTCGGAGGGCACAGTAAGGAATCCTGCAATCTGATTGCTTCTTTACCCGGTCAGTATTTTCCTATCTCTGCCCACGGGCACACTAACGCTTTCGTGAGCCTGAGTACATCCCTACCTTGGGTACCATTTTGCATAAATATACCTCGTTATCCGGCTGGGTAGTATTTTTAAGCAAAACACGTCGGTCACTACCTCAAGCCGATAAATAACTTATTAATCCTCTCCTTTCTCTCTTTTAAATCTAGTTGGTTGACAGAAAAATATTGGTTTCAAAATGAATTTGTAAAGCCAAAATTACCATTAAATTGGTTGACGAGCGGCCTAAAAACTGTTTTTATCATATAAACTACGGAGTCCTACAAGGATTTCCAGCCCTGAGAAAAGCCGTAACAACATACCTGAAAAGATATCGTATTTTTTCACGTGTGTATGATACCGCCAATCAGCTGCTGACACGTCACCCGCCTTTCGCGCCATTCGGTCAGGTATATGAATGAACGGCGAATACTTCACCATTCTCAATCCAAGGTCGTTTGTCGGATTTTTTTCGGATTATGGCTGCTAAAAACACTGAAAAATCCGTATCGCTTTCAGACAGTGGCGTTCAAGCTTTTCTAGAAGGGGAAGAAAACCAAAATACGGAAAGAAAGACGAAAGTTACGAATTCAGTGGCTTTGGTAATAAAATTTCTCGGGGCTGAGAACGAAATTCGACAACTGGAAGATTTATAACAGGCCGATTTTAGCCGTGTACCTGAAAGATTTCTTGTATTACTTCTTCTTTCGCCGGACGCTATTTGTTACAACGCACTTTGATTAGATTAGAATATGACGATTTTTCCCTTTCGTACGTGCGTGAAATAAAATAATTCAATCATTGAATCAAATCAGCAATAACATTAAGAAAAAAGAAAAAAAAAAAAAACAAAGTTGGTTTTCATGTTTAAAAAGTTACCTCCATGTCGCGCGAATAAAATCAGACACAAATTCAAATGAATCGTTAACAAATAAATTTGCTGTTGTCATGATTTTCATTTTGTCTTACCAACGGAAGACTTAGTACCAAAAACTTCTCATAGGCTTGCGTGTACAGTAAAACGGAACAATTTCTAAAAGCATCACCTTTCGCTGAAGTAAATCAGTTCCCGATTTAGACTGTCTATTTTTCCTTTATTCAAAAGTACATGTGACGTGTATTGTACTGAAAGCTGCTAATTCAGCGACGCGCTGAATACTTACCTAACAATTAAAATAAATGTATTGGCTTGTGAAATTAAGTCTACGGGAAATCACATGGAAAGCTTCTCCAGAAATCCTGACATAGCAAAAAAACTTGATGGTGATATAATCTTGGCTGCGGACCTTGCTTAATATGAAAAAAAAAAAAAACCCTCTGATTGCACCACCGTTTCATCTGCACGTTTTGACGCCGGAAGGAAGTTACTTTGAAAGAGAAAGTTTTTATATAGATCTTAAAAGTGAAAAGTTCAGAAAGGTTTAAAAACATCCAGCAGCTACGCTTGAACCAGTTCAGTTGAGTTTGACGTTCAGAAGAGTAACTTCAACTAATCATCTTCGATGGCAGTTTTGGTGAAAACTTGTTGCTGTGGCTGCAGCCTCGGTGCAGGTGTTATGATTCTCGGAATCTTAGGCCTGGTAAGTTCCAGCAGCTATTAATCGCTTTTCACACCCTAGTAATGATAGTACCTGGTTTAACGATTTTCGCTATTTCGTACAAATCGCGAACTTTAAGTTCCGGGAAAGTTATACTCAGAGCAAAAATTAGCCACGCGGAATTTTGTTACGTCGCGTTGACTGATCAGACGAATATTAAGACATAATTCCCAAAATGCTTTTCTCTGCTCTATAACGGCTATATTTTTACCAGTAAAATGTCGTAAAAAATAATTTGTCAACGTCAACGCAGAGACATATGCGCATTCTGAATTTTCAGGACTACTGAACAACTCAGTGCAAACTTCATAACTTTTCAGTATTCGGTCAAAAACGGGCATTCTAGAATAAATTGTTTCACGGTAAAATTAGATGTTGCAGCTGCAACTGATACTCTGAAGTAAGGAAATGATACTCTCTGGTGACCTACTGATAAAGAAAAGAAGCCGGACAAACTTCAGACTTCAACAGCATTCGAAGGTGTAGCTCTCAGATACTAGTCATTCGCCGCCATCACCTGAGCTACGAAACTTCATGAATGGAGCGAGACAAATTCTATCGGGTTCTTCGTTCCTTTCAAGGAATCTGATTTTATAATAGAAATAATATTTTGATCTTAGGATGGTATTGAAGTAAAGACTCGATCAATGCAGGTGAGCTGTAACTAAAGAAATTGAAGTACGGAAGACCTCGTGGCTGGTGTGACGCGGCCTTTCGTTTCGGCCAATAGACTTTATCGGATAACTTTAGGAATTTTTGAAGCCAACTCGTTGCACTTCGCGCTCACAGTTCGAGAATTCAAGATGTTCCTCTATAACAGAAGGATTTTCAACCGCAGTTTTACTAGTTACATCTTTTTCAAAAATCATAAGAGAAGAAGCCGGAAAAATGAAACCACACACGATTCGAACGCAGCACTTTCAGCTGGGCTCCACTTCAACTGTGCAATGAAATAACATGTTCTGGAAGCGTAATCATAGAGAATAACACATAGGCGCGCTTAGATACGGAATTTCTCTTTGAGTGTTCAACTCGAGTGAGATATCGATTTGAACACTCAAAGAGAAATTCCATATCTGGAAGCAACTATGTAATATTTTCTTTATCATATAAACACAATAGCCCCTCACTGACAAGACAAGTCGACTTAATTGACGATTCGACAATCCCTGACTAAAAATTGTAAAGTGAGTTTGCGCTTAAGCTGAAGATGAAAAATGCTTTGAATCAGTATAAAAACAACAATGGGCCTAATTTTAATACACAAAATTCTCAGTTACCGACTTTGTCCTTAGCGACAGAAGAAATCTTTAAGGTCAACGACCAAAAGCGGCCTGTGGCAAATATTCCAGTTGTCGATTTTCATTCTCAGCCGCGAGAAATACCAGTATAAAAGTCACTGAATACGTAACTTTCGGTTTTTCTCTTCATATTTTGGTTTTCTCCCCTTCTAAGAAAGTTTGAACGTCACTGTCGGTAAGCGGTGCGAATTTTTCAGCGTTTTAGCAGCCACAATCCGAGAATATTCCGACAAACAACCACGGCGGACATTGAATGATGAAAGCTTTGCTGCTCATTCATCAACCTAACCGAGTGGCGCGAATAACGTGTTAGCAGCTGACTGGCGGTATCAAACACACATGAATAAATATCGTATTTTTTCACGTGCGTTGTTACGGCTTTTTTTCGGGGCTGGAAATGCTTGCACAACACCGTAGTTTATATGATAAAATGATCTATTGCATGTGGGAGGCATGAGTTCCAGTTCCTTTTTAATATGTTTCCCTTCAATCTTTTTAACTAACGCCTAATTACAAGCATCGTTTCTGTATTTGAATATCATTTTAGTGTTCGCTTTGCTCAAACCGAAAGCAGGAGCTATTGGATGTCACTGATCTTTTTTTCATTATTTGTCACACACCGCGTGAAAATTGTGTGACAAAGAATTACGTCATGAAAAGGGAATTGGCCAAGCCTTGGGAAACAGCACGTCCTATCGTGACTTAGATAGTTATCTGGAGGGGTATATTTCGGGTGAACAGTACCAGTTTATCACTCAGTCGCTTAAGAAAAGTCTATGTGACAGAAGGAAATAATTGAATGTATCATTTTATCTTGCTGTTTTTTTGTTTCCTTGTGCCTGAGGGAGGAAATGTTAAGAGCTCAAATTGATCGGCGCACAAATATTTTCAGTCCAACTGTGTTTTTATGTTTGAAACATAACCTCTTCCTTACTCGTCACAAATGAGTAAAGTTATTTTGTAATTCAAGCATTCGCACGTTTTTCTGGTGAATTCAAAAGAGAGCAATCTGTATTTACTGTGGTATATCAAATCTGATCTGTAGTTGCATTTCTTTTTTTCATTTCAGTTTGCATCAGCTTATTCAATTTATCAAAACAGTCAGTCAATCAAAGTTAACTTGAAGCATATAGAGGAGAACGCTGACGAAATCAGCCAGGATTTACATTTCAACAAAAAGGATTTCCTGGGTATTAAGGTTTACTTTTGTCTTGTTCCGTAAAATCTGTTATAAAGAACACGTGTTTAGCTAGGATGAAAATATTTCCATTGGTGAGATTCTACGTAAAATTGTGTGGGGCTTCTTTAGTGACTCCAATACTCCGGTTCGTGATCTTGTGTGAAAATGAAAGTTCCACCAATAATTTTTAGAAATGTTCAAACCTTTTTCTGCAAAACAAACCGTCCCAGTCAGACAAGGTTCTCTCTCATTTTTTGATTATCTTCTCACTGATTAATTGATTAATGCACTTTTTTTTTTAACGATCATCTCTAAATATAGTGATCGTGAGATTGGCATATGTTTCCCTGGTATTCGGAGTCATCTCACTGTTGGTGAACCTGTTGCTTCTGGGATCCTGTTGCTCAGTAAGTCCAACACACTAAGAACGTAATTTTAGCACGTAACTTAAAAAAGATTTGAGAAGATTAAACATTATGATAAAATTTGTCTCAGAGGTACACAATAATTCTTCTTTTAGAAATTTAAAACTAGCCGGTATATTGGGCAACGAAAATGGCTTTCCTAGTCAAAATTTCATTAATTAAGGTTTTGCTTCACTAAATAGTTTTTGTAAGTTTGTTTGTTTTTTCTTTCATTTTTATGCATTAGATAAACAATAGTCTCTATTTGGCGCAAAAATATGCACGGATACTTGTCAGTAAACATAATCTCTTCCGTGAGGGAAACCGTGAGCCTCGAGGGACAGATAATTCCAAGGATATATGTACGAGCAACGGAGGCAGTTGTGTTTATTATCTTTAAAGTAGTTTTTGCAACTTTCAACGCACGGGAAAATGTTTACGAGCAATTTGCTGTTTGCTGCGTGAGATGTTCACTTTTCAATGCTCTTTGGTGCGACTTTATGAACAAACAAACCTCTCGTCTTGTAACAATACCTAAACACTCTTTCGTCTTGAATTTAATTATGAATAAGCGCCTTCATAGTCGTTGATGTATGGTTTGAAAAATGGGGAGTATTACGATAATATGATGTGTTTGAACTAATCGCGCGGCAGAAAAGCTTTGATAGAAGTGTATTCGAATGGTTATCTCACATTAATCCAAACAGTCGCAGCTTAAAGCGCTGACTTTTATTTATTTATTTATTTGTAAGTTTACGTCACTGGTCATCGTTCTTTTTCGTCGCAGGGTGACAAACATTTGGCATTTCCTTGGCTTGGGTGGAGCATATTCGAGCTCTTTTTCAGTTTTGGAGTGATTATATATTACATTACCATCTGCAAAGGGGTAAATTGAAACAACCTTTTCTTTTCTTATAAAGTATTAGTAGAGAGCTTTTCCATGAACTTAACATGATTTCTGTTTCCTTCTATTATACAGTTTCCCGTATTTTTATTTATTGACATCACTAGATGGCTGCTATCGGTATGTTTTGTTTCAGTTTATTTAAAAATTTATATTTGAGAGTCGGAGAAAAACTCGAAATTGCATTGATTTTGCCTTGGCTCTGTGATTGGTTCCTTTTTAATTCTGTGATTACTTGGCCGGTTTTGCTTTTAGCACACTTAGTCGAAAAGCACTCTATTCTACTGTTCAACTGAATTGATGACGGCCTGGGTCTGAACTCATTCCCTCCCTAGTTTTTTTCCAAGATCTACTTCATCATTGTGGTGTATTCGTACATCGAAGCACTTCGTGAAGATCCTTCGGGAACAAGTGCAGGATTTTCTCCCCCTCTGACAGGCGGTAACCAAACCCCGAAGGTAATTTCCGTTGCTGTAATGCTACATGACATTCGCAGTCAAATTCGCTATGAATATTTTTTGTGTTACTGAGCAAAAGTACGCTACGATAGCAGATGGACTAGCATTCCTTTTAAGGGCAAAGGTGGTCGCTCTTCGACTGCCAAAGCTATTGATATTGGTAAAGGGGCGAGAGGAGTCCATAATCCTACGAGTGATTGAGAAAATCGGACGACCGCGAAGCTATCAATCTCGTGATTTGTCAATCACGAGTATGATTACAGACAGAATTTCCACATCACAAAGTCCTGTTACCAATAAATCATAACCATTACAATTTCGAGAAAAAAAACCCAATACATCTAGGACAAACATCTCCGCTAGAGACAATGTCTAAAGTAAAAAATTCCTCCATTTGGGTAATAGCCTAGTTTTTTTCCAGGATGAGTGGTTGTTGCTATTGTTATTATGATCAATTGTGTGATTGGTGGATTTAGCTGAGTAGACTTAGTAGTATAAATGGAAAATTACAGCCGACTGTCCGATTACACTGTTCAATTACAACTGTACAGAATGACTGGTCAAAAATAACTCAGCTAAAACACCAATCACATTTGAGGAAATTTTTTGACCAATCATTCTGTACAGTTGTAATCGAACAGTGTAATCGGACAGTCGGCTGTAATTTTCCAATCGTTCACAATAACAATGGCAACAACCACTCATCCTGGAAAAAAAGATCACATGGTTGCTGGCTCGAAAGGCGCTGTCCTCGCCTCTCGCGTCACACTGCCAATGAAAGCATGCTCGTAAGCTAACCACTATGTATGTATATATATATATATATATATATATTCACGAAACAGGCTTGTCGGGAAATGTAGTTGCGTCCCCTTTTTCCCTCTCATAATATTTATTCTGCTCTGCTTCAACGTATTGAGCACTGTTCCACGCGAAAATCGACTTGCAGACTTCCTATATATATATATATATATATATATATATATATATATATATATATATTCTAGTTTGAGCACTCTGGCATGGCTTAGATGATCCCACATATGTGAGATCACTTGGGGTGGCTATATGGTCTTACCTCCATCCTAGCATCAGCACTGCACTGATGAGGCCCAGAAGGCCGAAACAGTACTGTCTGCAGTTAGTTATATATATATATATATATATATATATATATATATATATATATATATATATATACATATATATCAAATTAATTTTTTCTTTGTATACTAGAATAAGATTAAGCGAGCCTAGTTGTAATGATTTATTGAAGAAGTTTTTTTCTCTTTCTTTTTTTTTTTATTTTTTATTTCTTATTATTTCACAGGCTGGAATGTAACTCCCTCCATACACAGTATTCCATAAGGGCACTGTGTAAACTCAACAGAACATTGTGACTGTCCCAAGGGATTACTGATCAACGTTTTAATATAAAATTGTTAGAAAGGCTAACTAACTTTAATTTAGTATAACTGTAGAGAATATCTTTCTCTGATTGAGAGCGAGTGAGATTAAGGGAGCAGTCATTATTTTACGTGTGTGTGTGTGTGTGTGTGTGTGTGTGTGTGTGTGTGTGTGTGTGTGTGTGTGTGTGTGTGTGTGTGTGTGTGTGTGGGGGGGGGGGGGTGGGTCGGAGGACTCTGTGCTATTCTAATAACACCCCCCTTCCCCTCACCACGCTGTAGTCAATTTTATATCTTCCCCCCAACCCCCTCCCCCCCCGCAATTGTTGGCGACGAATAATCCCCAATCTGTCCCCTCTGAAAATTATGTGATCCCATTAAAACAACTCTGCGCACTCCCTCCCCATGAGGATATGAGGATAAACAATGACTGATCCCTAACGGTTCTAGGGAAAATTTATATCTGAGGAGTTCACACTAAAATGTAATTTGAAACGAATTTCTAACCAACACATGTATATATAACGTCATATGAATTTTAAGGTGATCGTGGGATGATTCAGCCTTTGAAGAATAGCAATATGGAACAGTTATTTAGGATTTTCATCGCTGTTATAAGATGAATGAAGTTAAAGGGTTAAAATATTCAAAGTAATTCGAAAAACTAGCTTCTTCGAAGCTTAAAAGGATAACGCAGATGTATGTTGTAAAAGTAAAATGGCGGAGACGTTTTGCGTTATGGTACAAGGGTTACCTTTTTTTAAGAGCCCTACAACTAACTGCTTTTTGGTAAACTTGTTACCTTTTACATATTCCTGAAAATAAAAAAAAAAAAAAAGAAAAAGGCTCGGAAAAAAACTGCTGTTGATATTACCATTTATTTTTTTCTCGGAGGGCCCGGTAGCGATTGCTACAATCTGATTGGTTCTTAGCGCGGTCCGTATTTTCCTATCTCTGCCCACGGGCAACGGTAAGGCTTTCGTGAGTTGCCGAGTACATCCCTAACTTCGCTGCCATTTTTCATAAATATATCACATTTTTCCAGCTGGGCAGTATTTTTAAGCAATGAAGTCGGTCAGAAGCACAAGCTGATAATTAACTAATGAATCCCCTCTTTTCTCATCCTCAAATCACTTTGGTTGACTGAAAAATATTGGTTTCGAAATGAATTTGTATAAACAAAAGTGTCATAAATATATGTTATTTGCCGGCTGGGAGGTCCGTATGGTGAAAAACTGTGACCGAGGTCTTGAAAATACTGCCCGAGGCCGTAGGCCGAGGGCAGCATTTTCAAGACCGAGGTCCCTTAGCCGGTAAATAACATATTTATTGTTTTTAAACTTAACGAAATTCTTTCCAAAAGAACCCGAATGATTTATGGACGTAAATACGGCAAGATCACATAAACTGAACAATTTTTGAGTGGGTAAATGGCAGTTAAAATAGGGGTGATGCAAATTTAAGAGAGATGCCTCAGCGAAACATTTTCATTTCCGTAACGATAAAGGTGATTTCAAAGGCTTCCAAACAAACTTTGAAACATTATTTTTACAAGTATCTGTCACAATCTGACACCTGTCAATTAGAGAGCACGCAAGAAAAAAAAAGCGTAGGAACATTTGAAAACCAACAGAACTAGTTTGGCAAGGACTGTCACGACAATGTTTTCTTCAAAATCAGTTAATGATCTAACGGAAAGTATTATTCACTCTCATCGACCATTCATTCATGTACGAAGATTTACCTCTGTTCATTAAGTAAACGGCGAGGAAAGTAATTGTGAGTAAATTCAATTTTTTTATTTTGAAGTTGTGAGAGTTTGCTCGTTTGTTTGCTGTAATGGCGTGTTTAACTCTGATCTTTCCTTCACAAAAACTAAATTCGAACGGCACACTCCAACAAGACACAAGGGAATGTAATGCTGCCTTTTCTCAAATTCCTTCAATTTCTGTTGTGCAATTTAAGGTACAAATGTCCAAATTGAACGGAATTGGAAAGACTCACCAGGAGCGTATATTTGTTGTAGAACTTAAATTAAAACTTCGCTCGCTCTTTCACTATGAACAAATCGCTCGAGAAAATTCAGATATTAAATGAATGAAAGTTCCATCGTTCAGTTTAACTGTAACCAAATACCTCACGTTTCAACTTTCTGGGTACTTTTTGTGAACGATTAAAATTAATTGCAGACGGTTCTTAGGCCGCTTGTCAACCAACGTAATGACACTATTGTTTATACAAATTCATTCTGAAACCAATATTTTTCTGTCAACCAAAGTGATTTGATAGAGAGAAAAGAGAGGATTCATAATTTATTTATCGGCTTGAGGTAGTGACCGACGTGTTTGCTTAAAAATACTGCCCAGCCGGAAAACGAGGTATATTTATGAAAAATGACAACGAAAGTTGGGATGTACTCGGCGACTAACGAAAGCGTTACCGTGGCCCGTGGGCAGAGATAGGAAAATACTGACCGGGTAAAGAACCAATCAGATTGCAAGATTCGTTACCGTGCCCTCCAAAAAAACAATAAAACTGGTTAACAAGCGGTCTGGAAAGTTAAAACGCGAGGTATTTGGTTACAACTGAATTTATCGATGGAACTTTCATTCATTTAATCTCAGTCTGAAGTCTCTTACACGATTTGTTCGTGGTAAAAGAGGGCGAAGTTTTAAGTTCTTCTACAATGATGCTTTCGGTGAGTCTTTCCAATTCAGTTCAATTTAGACATTTGTACCGTAAATTGCTGAACAGAAACCGAAGGAATTCAATGAGAAAAAGCCGCATTAAATCCTCTTGTGTCTAATTGAAGTACCTCATTTGAATTTGGTTCTTGTGAAAGAAAGACCAGATTTACACACGCCATTGCAATAAACAAACGTGTAAACTTTCACAACTTCAAAATGAAAAATTTGAATTACTGACAATTACTTTCCTTGCCAGCCACTAACTTACTGAGGTTTTAAACAATCTGTCACAATCTGATTCCTGTCAATTAGAGAGCGGAAAAGGAGAAAAAAAAAAAAAAAGAAACGGAACCAGTTTCGAAAGGACTGTCACGACCATATTTTTGTCAAAAACAGTCAATGATCTCACGGAAAGTATTACTCACTCTTATCGACGATTAAATAACGAATAATGTACGAAGATTTACCTCGTTTCAGTTAGTAAATGGCAAGGAAAGTAATCGTAAGTAAATTCAAATTTTTCATTTTGAAGTTGTGAGAGTTTGCTCGTTTGTTTAGATTGTTCCAAAGTTTGTTGGAATATATATATATGTATATGTAAATATTTTATGAGGAAAAAAGGACGCAACTACATTTTCCCGACAAGCCTGTTTCGTGATTCGCTTCACTCTTCAGGGGTTTAATCCGTTTTTTTTCCTCTTAAAATATTTATTCCGCTCTGCTTCAACGTATTGAGCACTGTTCCACGCGAAAATCGACTTGCAGACTCCCTATATGTATATATATTTATTACATATATATCCCTGAAGATTGAAGCGATTCACGAAACAGGCTTGTCGGGAAATGTAGTTGCGTCCTTTTTTCCTCTCATAATATTTATGTGTATATATATATATTTAGGACAGGTAGATATCGGAATTCAAAATTTTTTGGGGGAGTGAAACGGAAAAAGATCCGCATGCGCACTACACCCTCCCCTCGGGAATGCTTTTCGGTTGTATTGATGTATGTACAGCCTGTTTTCATACTTGTAAACGTGTCAACTAAACAAATTACGACGTCTAAAAATACACCTCCTCAAAGGAATGAAGTCGTCAGCGGAGATGGAAATTGTTGTTACCCGCGAGCTCTTGCTCTTTTGAATGATGAAATAGGCCATGAAAAATACGAGGATATCCCTAGGTCAAGTGATAGTTTGCTTGAGAAAAATCCAAAGGTTTTTGTGCTGCTGCTTTTCTCATCGAACTCCTTGGGGAAGAAAGGAAATATCACGGAAAACCCGGCAGAAACCGTGGGCAAATATATTGAAATTAGAACATCGGTTCTTTAGCAACCCATTTGTACCTACGCATCCATGCAGAAGAAAGGGTTCAGTTTTGCGCCGATTATTAACGCTGTTTCGTTCCTACTTACCACAAAAAGGAAGCAATCTAGGTGTTAAATCACTTAAATGCATTGCAGCAACATTAAGTGCCCATGCACACTATATTAATCTTCTGTTACCTTGAGGTAACTTTTGTGGCGCTCTTCTGTATTACTAAGCCGAGAAAAAAAATCCAGGAATTTATTTAACACACTTGAATAAACAGAAAAGTCTTTACGAAGTTATTTCTTGGCAATTTCTAGCTAATATTTCTTAGTTTAGAGACCATTAGGCGACGTCAATTTCACAGTAAACTTTGCGCGCCTAGAAAAGTTAATCGGTATATTTTAGGACAAATTTGATGGTTGTTCAAACAAAAACTTACGCTTCCCTCGTATCGCAATGACCTTAATCCATGTCTGATAAAACAGCGGCGAAAAAAAGGTTTTTTTAGACGACGACATAACCTCTCGCTATCCATTTCTTTCTGACGACTTGCAATGTTTGCCCTGTGCCGGTCCAGTCTGTGCAACTTTTGGAGTCTTGGGGAGTTTCCAAAGGCTTTCAATAGTTATTCAGCAATTAAGGTTACAAGCTTTCATAATTTGTAGCCAGGTGTTACGAGTGTCAGTGTAGAGCAGGGTTGTTCCCAGAAAAAACTCAGGATCGTCGGTAACAGCAATAAACTGATTTACTTCTCGACTTCTTGATTTTACTTCGCGACTTTACAGCACAAAGCTTCACACTTCTCTCTTTTTTTTTTTGATGAAACTAACGCTCTTATATACATTAAGTCCAAGGGTTTAGAAACTTCTCTAAAGAACTAAATTAAGAATTTAACTAAGATTAACACGTTTTCTAAATCTGAGTAATTACATAAGAAATAGAACGTTCCAGAATATTCTTATATAAGAAGGTCACGGCTGGATGACTTCGGGTTTTAGAGTGAAGAAATGTAAAATGGTTTCCGTGTTTACATTGCTTGATGTAAACACTTGGGAGGTTGGGAGAACACTCGATAAGCTGGAAACCACTCCGCTTCGTGTCGTGGTTTCCTACGCTTATCTCGTTATCTCGTTTACATAGCCTGATGTAAACATTGGGAGGTTGGGAGAACACGAGATAAGCGTAGGAAACCACGACGCGAGGCGGAGTGGTTTCCAGCTTATCGACCATTTTACAAACCATTTTACATCTTTTAATAAATTACCAATGAAAGAGGAACGAAAACCGTGTTTACATACGCTCATGTAAAATGGTTTTATGGCCAATCAGAGCGCGCGTACTATTTGAATTAAAAATGGTTTCCGTGTTTACATAGCCTGATGTAAACACCTGGGAGGTTGGGAGAACACGAGATAAGCGTAGGAAACCACGACGCGAAGCGGACAACTTTTTGCGGTGGCTCCAGCCTCCGTGCAGGTGTTATAATTCTCGGAATCTTGGGCCTTATAAGTTCCAGCAGTTATTAATCGTACAACCACCGGAAATATCAACAAACACTTTTAAAAAATCTGTAAAACCTTTTTGATTATCTTTTGACTGATTAATTGATTGATTATGTTTTTTTAATGATCATCTCTAAATAAAGCGATGGTCAATTTGGCTTGCGTTTCTCTTGCATTCGGAGGCATCTCATTGTTGGTGAACCTGTTGCTTCTGTTATCCAGCTCAGTAAGTCCAACACATTAATTCTAAGAACGTAATTTTAGCATGTGACTGAAAAATAATTCAAGAAGATAAAATGTTATGACCAAATTTGTCTGAGAGGTTCGTAATTTATTCTTCTCTTAGAAATTTAAAACTATTCGGTAGCTTATTTAACGAAAACGGCTTTTCTAAGTCACAATTTCATGAATTAATTTTGCTTTGATAGTAGTGAGTTCCAACGATTATCTCACATTAATTCAACACTTTAAACACATTAAACTATTTGAATTATTTTATAATGAAGAAATGTAAAATGGTTTCCGTGTTTACATAGCCTGATGTAAACACCTGGGAGGTTGGGAGAACACGAGATAAGCGTAGGAAACCACGACGCGAAGCGGAGTGGTTTCCAGCTTATCGAGTTGAATTATTTTATAATGTTCTATAAAGTGTTCTGGGACTTGACTTAGATAATTTTTCGCAACACCAGGCTTAACTGGTGTGTGAGAAGAGGAAAATTTTTTTACGGTAGAAAAATTCAGGTTCAACTTTCTCTTGTGTCATTAAAAACAATGGCTTGTATTGCGGAACAAACGGAGAGTGATCGCAATTTTTTTTTACTTTCTCTTTCGCCAGACGCTATTTGATACAAAACGCTTTGTCGAGCTTTGATTAGCATATCAATGAAGAAGACATTAACTTTGCATACGCACGTGATGTAAAATAGCTTAATTATTGAATGAAATCAAAAGTAACATTAAACAGGGTAAAATCTCAAAAGTAAAAGGTTAAAAAGCATCCAGCAGCTAAGCTTGAATCAGTTCACTTGAGCTTGACGTTCAGTAGAGCAACTTCGACTAATCATCTTCGATGGCAGTTTTGGTGACAACTTGTTGCTGTGGCTGCAGCCTCCGTGCAGGTGTTGTGATTCTCGGAATCTTTGGCCTGGTAAGTTGCAGCAGTTATTAATCGTATAACCACCTAAAATATCCTTCTGCTTTTCATACCTTAGTAATGGTAGTTCCGTACAAATCGCGAACTTTAAGTTCCGAGACAAGTATACCTAGAGCAAAGATTAAACACGCGGAATTTTGTTGCGTCGCGTTAAATCATTACACGAATATTAGTGAATGATTTCTGAAACGTTTTTCTCAAGTCAATAACGACTTTATTGTTACCAGTAAAATGTCGTAAAAAATGATTTGTCAACGTCAACGCAGAGACATATGCGCTTTCTCAAATTTCAGGACGACTGAGCAACCGACATTGCAAACTTCATAACTTTCATTCGGTCAAAAACGGGCATTGTAGAAGAAATTGTTTCACGGTAGAACTAGATGTTACAGCTGCAACTAATACTTTGAAGCAATGAAATGATCCTATCTGGTGACCTTCTGATAAAGAAATCGCAGACTGAGAAAAGACGCTAGAAAAACTTCAGGCTTCAACAGTATTCGAAGGGGTACCTCTCAGATACTAGTCATTCGATGTTATCAACAGAGCTACGAAGTCTCATGACTGAAGCGAGGCAAATTCTATCGGGTTCTTCGTTACTTTAAAGGAATCTGATTTTTTATAGAAATCTAATTTGATCTTGAGATGATATTGAAGTAAAGACTACTCGATCAGTGAAGGTGAGCTGTTACTAAAGAAATCGAGGTACTGAACACTTCGTGGCAAGTATAATGCGGCGATTCGTTTCAGCCAATAGACTTTGTCGGATACCTTTTTTTAAGTCAATTCGTTACACTCCGCACTCACAGTTTGAGAATTCAGAACGTTCTTCTATCACAGAAGGATCTGCAAACGCAATTTTACTAGTTACAATTTTCTTTTAAAAATATCTCCAGAAGAAAAACCGGAAAAATGAAATCACACACGATTCGAAAGCAGCACTTTCAGTTCACCTCCAACTGTACAGTGAAGTAACATGTTATAGAAATGTAATCATAGAGAATTACACATGGGCGCGCTTAGATATGGAATCTCTTTTTTTCTGTTCAACTCCATAGCTCAATAGTTAGCGCAGCGAACGAGTGAGATGTCGAGTGAAATGTTATCGACTTTGTCCTTAGCGACAGAAGATATCTTTCAGGTACACAGCCAAAAGCAGCCTGTGGCAAATCATGACGAGCCAGACGTTCTTAGCAACCGAAAAAAGAGCTTTGGATCCTGCTGAGATCGAGGAGTTTTACTCCACGATCTCAGCTTGACGTCCAGCAGCTTGCAACATTCCATTGTAACAATATCCCTGCTACTGATCATTTATGTTACGCTGAAAGTGCGAACTTTCGCGCGAGCGTGTTATAATCCTGAAACGAGAGTGTGCGTTTATAATTAAAATTTCTATTTTGGTAATTCAAAACGTGTCAGTGAATGTATGCCACGTTTGGAGTGAATGACGTATTTTGGCTCTTTGATTTTTATCAATAGGCCGGGAACAAAAGCGAAAGCGGACGAGCCGACTTTATTTGCTGACTTTCCAAGTCAGCTTCCCTTTTCTGAAACCGCTCTATTTTCTGGACCGTAAACCGCCAGACAAATACGTACGTGCCAGCAAATCGATACTAAGAAAGAGTATAATAGACCCTTTTTGTTGAACGAATCTCGGATTTCGTCATTTTGGGTCATTTTTAACACTCACGCGAAATTCCCCCTTTTTTAAGTCTGCCTGAAATGAACAAGGGACGAACCGGACGCCACGACTTTTGCCTTCGATTAATGCACGCAACACGCTCACGCCACGACTACAAACGAAACGCGTATGTCGATCAAAATGAGAACGTTGCGGGATTTGACGGCGAAATTTAGCCGTTTAAACCGTGAAGTAGTGCGAATTCAGCATGTTAAATTTTTGATACTGTAAAATTTCGGTTATAAGCCCTTGCCTAATACTAACTACTTAATAACCGGGCGCGAGGGCTTAACTGTAAAATTCCAGACTGAGGGATGAAATTTTTGCTTTATGGACCGAGCCTCTGGGCGAGGTCCATAAATCAAAATTTCAGCCCGAAATTATGGAATTTTACAGTAAAGCCCGAGCAAACAAGGTTATTAAGTTTTTCTATAATATGGCTTCAAGTAGGTAAAGCGCGCGAAATAGAGTGAACTTCTACATTGCCTTCATTTTCCGTCACAATTTCGTCAGGATAATAAAATTCAGAAAAGAAATGTTTTTCAGAACGCATAGTTAAAGAAGAGATACGTTTTTTGTTCAATTTCTTGCTTTTTTAACGAAGTTCTTTTCAGCGAAAGTCACTAAGTTCGCCAGGTTTTGTAAACCAAAACCGTGGCGGAAAAAATCTGCTATGCCCGTGGGCGTTTACCGGGGGATAACGGACCGCTAATTAACCAATCTGAGCGCGCGTACTATCGCAGCCATATAACAAAACTTTGTAAAGGGTTTTGGGTAGGTTTAGCGGATTGAAAAGCGTTTGGAAACAAGCCATGGTAATGTTGATCTAAATTCGTTTTTAATTTAAAGTCATATTAAAGCAAAATTTCCAGTTAGCACTGTCATCCAGCAGAGGGGGGAAGGGGGGTTATCGGGGGGCCTATAACCGGATTGTTTTGTCTGCAGGTAGATAATCTAACCAGAATTTTACAGTATACACTTCGGGCCGTTTTACACGGTACGAAATTATCGCAGTGTATTCAACAATTTCCCAGGCTGAACTCGCACGACTTTATATTTTAAAAGCCAGCCGTCTATCATACTGCATTTTTTTTTTTATTTCAACCAGTACACGACTGAAATAGGACACATCCAAAGCCCGCTCGCGGTAGTCTCCCCCACCCACTATATGATGCTAAAGTTCCCACTGAGGCAAGCTTTCACACGCGAAGTGAAAACACTTGGTAACGTTATCGATCAGTAGGAATACCTGCGAGTGTGTTAATCGACCGAACTACATAACTTGAATAAGTACGCTACGGTTTTTTTTTTTTGGATCATTGGTTCTCGCCCCCTTTTGCTTTTTGTTTTCGGCACCACGTTTCCGTATTACATTTCCATATTATTTGAAATGACACCCCTTTCTCTTTTCGCGGCAATCTCAAACGTTTTGGCCAAACTTGTAGCTGGCTTATGGCTTCGAAGAGAATAAACTACCGGCAAGCAAGCAGTTTCATTATGTCCTTCCTGTGTGCTGTCATCTCACTGAAGTTCCACGACCGTGAAACAACTTGAGGTTGTGAAGAGGTCATAAAATCAAGGGCCGCTAGAATAACCCCAACGCCACAACTGCCGCTTCCAATTAGTTGGCCATCTGTCTGTTGTCTCGGCATTCGAAATTGGAAACTTGGACTGAAGCTCACTCATGATAAGAAAGACATAAGAAGTTTTGGAGAAAGAATATCCAAGGCCATCATCAAAATACGCTTCTTTGCTTTTTACATCGAGGACCATTAGTCCCCAATGTACATTGTCCATGTTTACCGGAACCAATACCAAGCTTAATAAGCCAGGCTTGACATTTTGCAACATTTCTTCAAAACATTGCCGGATAAAGCTTCTCTCTCCCGTGTTGAGCCAGGTAATAGTGTGCGCTGGAAGACAGAGTAAAGACTCGTTTAAATCACATTTACGCTGCAATCTGGAAATTGCTGTGTCAATTACAGTGTTACCATCTTTTGTTATTGAACTGCATGATAAGTATGTTAAGATACAACTTTTTATTAAGTCAACAAAATTTCCTGAGAGCGGTTTCTGGCCACCTTATACTTCTAAAAGCGCTCCTGTATGATCAGCATGTTGATAAGATACAACATTTTGCAAAGTTACCAAAACTTCCTGGGAGTGGTTTCATCGCCGAAGTTAACAGAACTTCCTAGAAGCAATTTTCGAGCTTTGGAGCCACCTTAGTTTTCAACATCTCCCAGCAAATATATAGCCACATTTGTAGCAGTAACTGACAATAACCTATGGAATGGCCTATCTAAAAATAAGAGCTGGAAAGTGATGGAAACTATTTGTCAGCCTCTTTTATTCTACTTTATATTTACTTATATTAACTTTGTTACATGCGAAAAATTCTGTGTAAGGCATTCGACATGCATATGACTATATTGCATAGTTTATACAATGTAGCACTCTACTTGAAGGCTACATAACATATATTGACTTACTGGTCAGTGAACTTGTAAAATGAATTGCAGATTTCTTTTGCCATCTGCCAGATAAAGCAATAGCTAAAGAGTTGTCATGGTTCCTGTTTGTTTCAAGTAAGCATTGCTTGTAATTAAAACTTATTACATCACTTACATTTTTGTAGGCATCCTGTTGATACTGAGCAACATAATTCTGGACTTCCTTTGGGTACTTCTTGTTTTTTCGAAGAATGGACAGCTTTGCAACAACTTCCTGTTGTTTTGTTTTCCAGAACTGTAGCTTAGTATCTAACTCCTGCTGTAGCAGACCTAACAAAACGATCCCAAATAATGAGTGTCAAAGGGATTTCGCTTGTTCACAAAACTGGAGCCTGGTATTGCATAGCTTTTCAAAGTGGTGTTTAAAGAGATGATAACGGTCCTTTATATCACATGTTAAAGAAATAAGTTTTCTTTTTGTATACGTTGTTATAATCTTAACATCCCATCAAACTCACTAAGCTGGGTATTACATTTAACCCAGTGAAAAGTGAATTTGCTTACCTGTACTGGCAATGTCAAGTGTGTCAGTGTGAGTTCCCCAATCTCTAAAAAACTTTCCTGACTCGTTCATATGCAATAATTTTAATAAGTGTGTTGCAGTGATGACATAAGTATGCGATTTACATAAAGGACAACACAAGGAATAGTGCATATGGCAAGCACTTCAATGATCAATATGACTGAGCATTTACCAGTATTATATAAGAAATAATGAGCTAGAACTGACAGTCGGTCTTCAGGAAAATGCCAGCCAGTTTGGTCATGTTTGACAAAACTGCAACTGTGGTCAAACATTTAAGTAACAAAATTAATTGCTCAACATAATGCTGTAGATTGGAAACAATTTCTCATTTAGTTCAGTTGCTACACATACGAAAGGATGAAATTTAAAAAGAAATTTGAGAACTAGAATCAAAATAATCATAAAAAATTTTGTTAGACCAGTGGGATTTTGAAAGTCAGATATATGTACTCTTGAGAAAAAAAATGGCACTCTAACAATAAATAATAAGCATAGCACACCTTGGACTTGTAGGCATAACCAAATACAATAATAATAAACACTTACCAAATCTTTCGGCATGCATGTCTCCAAAATTCACATTGACGTGATGTCATGATGCCGATGTTAGATATCCCAGAAGCACTCAGGCATACAATTATGCCAGGATTTCAACCTGGGTGAACCAGAGAGGATATATAACACTTGCTAGATCTTCGATACCATGTGCGAACCAAAATACTTATTATGTTATATATCCCAGAAGCACTCAGGCATACAATTATGCCAGGACTTCAACCTGGGTGAACCAAAGAGGATATATAACACTTGCTAGATCTTCGATACCATGTGCGAACCAAAATACTTATTATGTTATATATCCCAGAAGCACTCAGGCATACAATTATGCCAGGACTTCAACCTGGGTGAACCAAAGAGGATATATAACACTTACTAGAACTTCAATACCATGTGCGAACCAAAATACTTATTATGCTTTATATCCCAGAAGCACTCAGGCATACAACTATGCCAGGACTTCAACTTGGGTGAACCAAAGAGGATATATAGCACTTGCTAGAACTTCAAAACCATGTGCGAACCAAAGTACTTATTATGTTATATATCCCAGAAGCACTCAGGCATACAATTATGCCAGGGCTTCAACCTGGGTGAACCAAAGAGGATATATAACACTTGCTAGAACTTCAATATCTTTTGCGAACCAAAATACTTATTATGTTATATATCCCAGAAGCACTCAGGCATACAACTATGCCAGGACTTCAACCTGGGTGAACCAAAGAGGATATATTACACTTGCTAGAACTTCAAAACCATGTGCAAACCAAAGTACTTATTATTTTATATATCCCAGAAGCACTCAGGCATACAATTATGCCAGGACTTCAACCTGGGTGAACCAGAGAGGATATATAACGCTTGCTAGAACTTCGATACCATGTGCGAACCAAAAGTAATGCTCATGTTATATATCCCAGAAGCACTCAGGCATCCAATTATGCCAGGACTTCAACCTGGGTGAACCAAAGAGGATATATAACACTTGCTAGAACTTCGATTTACCATGTGCGAACCAAAATACTTATTATGTTATATATCCCAGAAGCACTCAGGCATACAACTATGCCAGGACTTCAACCTGGGTGAACCAGAGAGGACATATAACATTTGAGGGTCTCTACTGGTATTCTGAAGAAATCAAAGATTTATGCTGAAAAAGGAAGATCTCATAACTGAAGCTTAGGCTTAAAAGTTTATGTAACGCAATGATTTCAATCTAGATAATGAACAAGTAGATCATCTTGCGCACAGCCTTTATGTGATTCTTGTTCAGAAGAAGTGGAATGTCAGATTTTGTCTAGATAAACAAATGCAGACATAACAATATCTTAATGAATCAATAAAAGAAGGCATTACAGGGTTGGAAATTAGCACTTGCCCACTTGCCCAGGCGAGTGTCAAAACTACTTGGGCAAGTAAAAATCCTAGGCTTTTTGTTGCATTTATTAAAGGCACTCGCCCGATGGCCAGTGCAGTCAAAATTAAGTTTCCATCCCTGGCATTACAGATCAATGAACCCATTAAAATGTAAAATGGTAATAGAATGATTATAATATAATGTGGAATCCATCAATAATGATAAGAGCACAAATAAATGTTTAGGTAAGGAAAGACATGTCTTGTGAAATAAAAATACTGAGATCAAGTTACAGTTTGAGTTCTAATGTAAACTACTCTATTTTAGTCACACTGCTCATCAGTGAAAATTATTTTAGTAAGATGAGGTATGGTTAAAGGGGGGTGGGGGGTCAGGGGCACCTCAGGAACCCCTCTAGCCATGCCCTTGACAAAGTTTAGCAATAAAAAAAGAAAGAGGAAAAACAATATTTCTGTTTGTTATTTTTCTATTTATCTTTGTACTTTGTATCGGTATATTGTTTTATTATATCATAATTAAATAAATTTTGACCTCCAAAAGAAACTGATAAAGTTGACCAGAATTTAAATACAGGGGTGGCAGTTTTTCCCCACTCACCAATTTAATCAAACACACTAACTGGCAATACAAAATGATTTAAAAAGATAAAATGATTTACCTTAGTTCGCCCTAACTTTGTAAAGTTCAACAAGGTTTGCCATCCTTGGTCTGGGATCCGGGACTGCAGCTTGAAGTAAAGCAACGTCCAATCGGGCACACGAAGGGATTTAAAGAATTTTGGGGCACTGTCCCCCAGTATTGCTTCCAGGGCTTGCTTCGGGTCTCTTTTTCTCAGCAGCTGTTCTGCGATATCGCTCATCACTTTAGCCACTTCAACATTTTGGTCCACCTGATCGGCGAATAAAGATGCAAGAGGCACCTGGAACTTATCGCAAACATCGCCGATCAAGGTCCACATATCGCTTGTACTGTCCGGGTTGTCCTTTGCCGGGTCCTGTGTGCCTGAGCTCAGCGTCGATTGACCGCCGTTTTTCACCTCATCTCGAAGGGCCTCTAACTGGGGAAGCACAACTTCAAGTTTAGCCTTAAGCTTAAGATTTTCATCTTGACTCTTCTCGATATTCTCTATGGATATGGCTGACCTTGAATCGACTCCAAATACTGTTTGTACCGGGTCATGAATTTTGTCCTTGTTGTTGTCACGTGTGTCAGTCGCTGTTTGGCAATCTTCATTATCTTGGCCAATATTTAGGCTGTTGATGCCATCAATCAACCCACTGTACTTTTCTTCTTCGCCCGCTTTTATTTTTTGCCGAAGTATCGCGGAAACAACGTCGAAAGAAGAGGCTATGAATACCTCTTCTTTGTGAACTAGTCGTCGATCCAAGTGCCCGCCATTTTTAAGATTCGAGAGCTGCACTGTGTTAAATTCTTTTGGAAAGCTTGACACCAAAGGGCTACTCGACATGAATTTTCCTACAGGAATGCCGCATATTTTGGAATTCAGGAGATACCAGTCCCTCGAATCGCTCGTGGAGTGCAGCAATTCAGCTCTTCGAATATCGAAGGCATCCATGCCGCACAGCACCTGATCGAAATGAGAACAAATTTCCCGCTCTTGTGAGTAATGTCTGAAATTCAACCTCAAGAAATGTCAGAAGAAAAATCCAGCCCCTCAAAATAAATGGGATTGACGCCATTGGAGGTTGTACACAACGGTGTTAATGTAATCACCGAACGCTCCCCTGTTGAAACCACAAATCGAAAGCGATGATAGCTACTGAGCCGGATCATGACGTCACACCATAGCAACCAAACCCCACGAATTTTTGAACATCCGGTTTGCTCTGGCTCGTCATGTTCCAGTTGTCGATTTTCGTTCTCAGCTGAATACTGAATTCGTAACTTTCATTTTTTCTCTTCGTATTTTGGTTGTCTTTCTCCTCTAGGAAGGGGGAGGGGGAGGAGGTGAAGGGGGGAGGGGGAGGGTGTGGAGGCCGAAAGGGAGGGGGGAGTAGGCGCAGGGTGCAGGGGGAGGAGACGGAGGAAAGGAGGGGGAGGAGGCAGAGGAGGGGAGGGGGAGGAGGCGGAGGAGGGGAGGGGGAGGAGGCGGAGGAGGGGAGGGGGAGGAGGCGGAGGAGGGGAGGGGGAGGAGGCGGAGGAGGGGAGGGGGAGGAGGCGGAGGAGGGGAGGGGGAGGAGGCGGAGGAGGGGAGGGGGAGGAGGCGGAGGAGGGGAGGGGGAGGAGGCGGAGGGGGGAGGCGGAGAAGGGGTAAAGGGGCGGAAAAGGGTGGAAATGTTGAGTGTTCGAATTGATCGGCGCACAAATATTTGCAGTCCAACTGTGTTTTTGTGTTTGAAACAAAGCCTCTTCCTTCCTCATCACAAATGACTGAAGTTAGTTGGCAATTCAAACCCTCGCATGTTTTTCTAATTAATTTAAAAGAGAGCAATCTGTATTTGCTGTGGTATATCGAATCTGATCTGTAGTTGCGTTCCTTTTTGTATTTCAGATTGCATCATCTTATTCAATTTATCAAAGCAGTCAGTCCATCGAATTTTACAAGCATATAGAGGAGAACGCTTACGAAATTAGCCAAGATTTACCTTTCAGCGAAGAACATTTACTGGGTATTACAGTTTACTTTTGTCTTGTTCCGTAAAATCCATTGGGAAGAACACGTAGTTAGGACGAAAATATTTCATTTGTGAGATCATTTCTTGAATTTTGTGAGTTTTTTAATAACTTAAATATACATTTTACATTGGTTCGTGATCTTGTGTGAAAATGAAATTTCAACAAACACTTTTAAAAAATGTGTAAAATCTTTTTCTACAAAACGTACCGTATCAGTCAAGACTGTCTCTCCTTTTTTGATTATCTTTTGACTGATTAATCGATTGATTATGTTTTTTTTAATGATCATCTCTAAATAAAGCGATTGTCAGATTGGCTTACGTTTCTCTTGCATTCGGAGTCATCTCACTGTTGGTGAACCTGTTGCTTCTGTTATCCAGCTCAGTAAGTCCAACACATTAATTCTAAGAACGTAATTTTAGCATGTAACTGAAAAATAATTCAAGAAGATTAGATATCATGACGAAATTTGTCTGAGAGGTTCGTAATTAATTCTTCTCTTAGAAATTTAAAACTATTCGGTAGCTTATTGAACGAAAACGGCTTTACTAAGTCACAATTTCATGAATTAATTTTGCTTTGATAATAGTGAGTTCCAACGATTATTTCAAATTAATTCAACACTTTGAACACAAAATGGAAAAACTATTTATACGACTGCAACACACAAATCGCCAAATTGGCAGTTTTCGCTTCAAGTTCAATCGCCAATTTTTGTTTTTGACTTGACCCAAACAGTCGCAGTATGGAGCGCTGACTTATACTTACTTATTTGTAAGTTTACGTCACTGGTCATCGTTCTTTTTCGTCGCAGGGTTACCGGTGTTTGGCATTTCCTTGGCTTGGGTGGAGCATCTTCGAGCTCTTTTTCAGTTTTGGAGTGATCATATTTTACATTGCCATCTGCAATGGGGTAAATTGAAACAGCCTTTTCCTTTTTTTTTATGAATTACTAATAGAGAGTTTTTCAACGAACTTGACATGATTTCTGTTTCCTTCTATGTTACAGTTTGCCATCTTCGTGTTTATTTACGTCATTGCATGGTTGCTGTCGGTATGTTCTATTTCAGTCTTAGATCAATTTCTTTTTGAGAATGGAAAAAAAAACCGAAATTGCATTGATTTTGCCTTGGCTCTGTGATTGGTCCAGAAAACTCACGTCACTATGCAATCAGAGGCGAAATTAAAACTGATCATGACTTGGTCGCCCTGGTTTTCCCGCGCTTTAGGCACTCTAGGTGTTTTACCTCAGTCCATAGCTACCTCTTCCAAGTGTTTTTCTTTTTTCTGATTACTTGGTCGGTTTTGGTTTTAACATGCTAGATCAAAACGCGCTCTATTCTCCTGTTCAATTAACTGCATACTCTTAAATTGATAATGGTCTGGGTCTGAACTCATTGCCTCCCTCTTTTTTCTTTAAGATCTACTTCATCATGGTGGTGTATTCGTACATCGAAGCCCTTCGTGAAGATCCTTCGGGAACGAGTGCAGGATTTTCTCCCCCTCTGACAGGCGGTAACCAAACCCAGATGGTAATTACATTTCCATTGCTGTAATGCTACATGACCTTCGAAGTCAAATTGGCTATGAATATTCTTGTGTTACTGAGCAAAAGTACGCTACTATAGCAGATGGAATAGCATTCTATTTAAGGGCAAAGGTGGGCGCTCTTCGACTGCTAAAGCTATTAATATTGGTAACGAGAGCAAGTGAAGTTCATTTCGGTCTGCAATCATACGGATGATTAAGAAAATCGGACGACCGCTAAGCTATCAATCTCGTGATTTGTCAGTCACGAATATAATAATAGACAGAATTGGACATCACAAAGTCCTTTTAGCCATAAATCATAACCATTACAATTTCGGGAAAAAACCCAATACATCTAGGACAAACATCTCTGCTAGAGAAGATGTCTTAAGTAAAAAAAAATTCCTCCATTTGGGAAATTCCCCAGTTTCTTTTTCTCTTTTATTCAGGATGAGCAGTTGTTGCTATTGTTATTGTGATCAATTCTGTGATTGGTGGATTTAGCTGAGTGGACTTAGTATAACTAGAAAATTACAGCCGACTGTCCGATTACACCGTTCGATTACAACGGTACAGAATGATTAGTGAAAAATAAATCAGCTGATGCAGCAATCACATTTGAGGAAATTGTAACGGTTGTGATTAGGGCTGGAATAAGGTACATTAGTGTGACCCTGGTGTGTCACTTACAATCTGCAATACTTGAACCCCATAGCATCAGTTCTCTTCCCTAAAGGTGATGTATATTTTAATACATGACGCTGAAAATCCATCTTAGCTTAGGTATCCTAAGAACATTTCCATCTCAGCGTATCCAGACTGATATTTCGACTCGAGAATTCTGTTATCCGAACAATTGCCTTTCCCGCGAAGCAATTTTTAGCTGTGTAATGGCTAGGTTCAAACTGCTCACTTCTACTCTGCCTCTAAGTTTAACTTGAACTGCGCTTTCTGAATGGGTCAACTGGTTTAACTGCGAGTGAATAAGACTTTTTTCAGCAATTAACGATCCATTTCAAGAGATTCTAAACTATTCTCTCTCGTCCACTTATTCTACTTGGGAATGAACACAGGATGAAATGACTAAATTAAGTTTCCTTAAAGGTAACTTAAAGGTTAACATTAGATGTATTTAAGACATCTTTAGGTGACATACGAAAGTTTTGAAATGAATCTTTAATTGAACTTTCAGAAGTCAATTGAAGTCTCCTTATGAACCATTTCATGAACACTTTAGGATCACATGAAAGTAAACCTAAATAACCATTTAATTGACTTTAAGAATCCTCCTAATTCTCGTAAACTCGTCTTTAATTGCCAAAACTTCTACTTGTAAAGGCAACTTAAAGGTTTCTTTAATCTTTTGTTTCCCTTTAAGTACTACTTAAAGTTGCAGGTTTTGTTGTAATTCATCTTTAGTTGTACTTTCAGGTCCTCTTAAATTTCAAGTTTTGTTAAAATTCATCATTTAGTGACCTTTAAGTGCCTCTAAAAGCTGTAGGTTTCACCTTAAATTGACTTTTGATTTGCTTAATCACACCCACATTTATATTATGATAACTTATAATATTTTGGGCAACTTCTAAATTGTTAGAAAAAGAGACATCACACATACAAGTAATTACAGAATGTTTGAAATTGCAGTGATGAAATAGTTTCGTTCCAAACTCACTTCCTCCCCTGAGATAAAGTAAACCCACAATAAAGCTGAGGATATCTTATTTGAGGCACATACATAATTAAAAAAGAGACATCCAAATGTTTGAATTACTAATTGTAATACTTTATTAAGATTGTTTCTCTTTCATTAATGTATAATTCATATAATCTCAGTCATCTATATAGAATAGAATAGAATCTTTATCACTATAAAAATATAAGAACTACAGAATATAACTAGCTGTAGCAACACACTGCACAAAAAAACTATTAATTCACAAATTTCACTCTCAAATCCAGCCACTAAGAAATGCAATTTGAACTGATACTAAAAATAAAAAATAAGTTCAACCTATCAATCTAAAAAATCAGTATTTTTCTAAATCAATTTAAATTTGCGATAGCTATCAATTATTTGCCGACCTGTACATCAATATGGAAAAAAGTATCTCATATGGAGGAAATTAAATATAAAATTGAAGAATTCACAATTACTTACTTTAGATAATGAGACCATAAAATTGCTAATTAACATATTCAATGAAAAAGAAGTCTCACGCAGGCATGTAGAAGACCTTCATTCTAGACATGGCTGATTAATACTTTATGATCTGGATATATTACACATTTTCAAAGTGATAAAACAATTTTTTTTACTGCCTTATTGCCCACTCCGGAAATTTTCAGTTGGTGGGCATTTCAGGGAAGGTTGCCCATCAACTCTGGGTAGGATTCTCTCCTTAGCTCTTGAAGTGAGTTTTTTCTCATAGGCCTTATCAAGTTTTTTTTTATTTTTTTCATTCTTCTACTCTCCCATTGAAGGTGATGGACAGAGTATTTTGTTACTTTTGAGTTATTTATATCATCATCCTCGTAACAGCTTTCTTCACTGCTCATCGCCTCCATCACAAGAACTTCCGCCACTCTCCCCTTTTCGTGCTGGTCAGCCCAGTTGACCAGCTCCAGGGCTGTAGTTCGTCTCATTAACGTCTGAAAAAACAAAAATATACAACAAGCATGAGAAGCGTATTATAAAACCTCAAATGGAAAATATGATCCAAATTACTAATTTCTCTTGATACATGAGCACACAGTGTAAGAATGGAATTCTTAAGCATGTTATACTATAGAGTCTCCTTGTCCTTTATTTTTCATCAAATGGTCCATACAAGCTATCATTGATCTCAAATCACATCTATATATATTTCATTCTTTTCCTCAACTACAGATCCATCTTTAAAATAATATTATACAATTACCAAATTTACTTTACAAAGATTTTCTTTGTAAGGAAGGCTCTAGATACAGACCAGAATACATAAGGCAAGTCCGTTGGCTATATAGAAGACGGGAATTTCAGAACGGACAATCTATGTTTCACCTCTCATAAAGTACTCTTAAGAGTTATGTTAATGAAAAAAACAAACAAACGAATGAATGGCAGCATTAAACAACAACCAAAGATCATTAGTAGATGACATAGCTTTCGCAAAAGTGTCCTGTTTGTTGACTACAAACTTTTACAATTTGCATGATAAAAGTTAATGCACAAACTCCGCGTTCTTCCTTTCTCACCTGCTCAGCGTTTGACCAAGAATTATCAACTTCTGCTTCGATTTCAAGACGCTCTTCCTGAACAAAATCTGTGGGTCCTGTAGGGATTTGGTGTAAAAGATAAAATTAGTTGGCAGTGGTCTATCGCCTCAAGCAACGCTGAATAGCAGTTACGTTCTCTATATTTAACGTAACTAACCTTCATCGTCAGATGAACTTGAAATTTCTTGAAACAAATCACGGGAATTTGAAGTCGACCCGAAAGTATCTGTCAAGTTCGACTTGTTACGTTTTCGCTCATGCCTTTCGAAAGTTGAACGTGACACGAAGTCATTACAATGAGCGCAGTAAATATATCCTTTCTTGTCATCGCACTCCATGCGTTCTATAAAGGAGATGCGAAAATGAAAACCCGTTGCTTTCAATTCAGATATTTTGACAAAATTTGCTGCTGCACATGGAACAAAATTTGCTATTCCTGTCCGACGCAAGTGCCGGCTAATTTGTGATGCATTTCCTATTGACAGTTCAGATTACAATTAGACTATCTTTAGTGCGTCAATTAAAGATGTAAAAACAGTGAGACTCGTTTAATTCTCACCTCAAAGGTTAATTAAATGTATATTAATTAAAAACCCTCTTTTGTGCCAAAAAAGAGACCACTTAAAGGATGCTAGAAGATTTACGTTATTAAAGTTCACCTTATGTTCAATTAAAGATTCATGAAAGGTAACTGTTAGCTTTTGGATATTTCGGTTTACAATTAAAGACGCCTAAAGCTTAAGTCAACCTTTAGGGATGCTTTCCGTTTTGCCTAAAGGCACTGAAATAAGAGTATTCGTCCTGTGGAAATTTAAGTAACCCAACGACCACATTATAACCTGCGAGAAAGAAACAAAGCCAGTTAGAGTTGGAGCCAGTCAGCAAGGCGAGCACGCGAAAGGTCTATTAGGGTATTGTTCGGGAACCTCTCTCACGCGCGCTCACATCGTTCGCTGGCTCGAAAGGTGCAGTCCTCGCCTCTCGTGTCACACTGTCAATGAGAGCATGCTCGCAAGCTAACCACACACATATATATACATATCAAAATTTATTTTTTCCCATTTATACCAGAAGAAGATTAAGCGAGCCAAGTTGTAATGATTTATTGAAAAAAGTTTTTTTTTCTCCATTTTTCTTCTTTGTTTTTATTATTTCACAGGCTGGAATGTCACCCCCTCCATACGCAGTATCCCAGAAATTCACTGTGTAAATTCAGGAGAACATTGTGACTGTCCCAAGAGATGACTGATCATCGTTTTAATTTGGGCATGAAACTGTTAGAGAGGCTGCCTAACTTTAACTGAGTATAACTGTGGAGAATATTTTATTCTGATTGAAAGCGAGTAGGATTAAGAGATCGGTCATTATTTATCGTCTGTGGGTGGGTCAGAGGAGTTTGGTTGTGTCACAATAAAATTTAACTGATCCTCCATATGTACTGTACTATTCTGATGACCCCATTCCCCGGTTGCAGTCAATTTTCTATAGTCTCAGCCCCAGAATAAACTGTAATTTAGTGTTAACAACTGGGTTGAAAACGTAAATTAGCCACCGTAAAGAGTAAAAAAGCTGACGTTTCGAGCGTTAACCCTTCGTCAGAGCGATTGGAGGAATTGTGGGTTGTGTGTGGCTTTATATGCAGAAAGTGGGTAATATACCTGGGAAATTTCCGACACTTCTTTGGCTTTTCCGGACATCAAAATTTCAATTGAAGGCAACGGCTTCAGATTCACATAGTTACTTGTTGTATTCATCTTCACATCCATCACACGTCAAGAACTCCATACCTTTTTCACAGTTTCTCAGACTTCGTCGTTTATGTAGTGACGACTCTGATTTTTCCGAAAAATCAGAGACAATGTGCCAGTTTTTCGATAAACGTGGCTATCCTTTTTCTGTCGTTCAAGCGGGCCACCACCGTGCCCAACAAATTGATCGACAGTCAGCTCTACAAACGGCTGAGAAGGAAAACACTGACCGCATTTCATTTACTCTTACATTTCACCCTCACAACCAAGCAGTTAAATCTATCATTCTTAAAAATGTTATATTACTCCAAAACGATTCAGAGACTGGCACTATCTTTTCGCAACCCCCACTTATTTCATTCAAACATGACAAAAACATAGGCAACTTTTTAGTTAGGAGTTCATTTCAAACCAATGACCAATCTGGAAGTTTTAAATGTGCTCGCTCACGATGCAAAACTTGTCCTTTCATTCATAACGTAGAGAAAATATCGGGGCCCGAGAGATCCATTAAGATCATTGATCACTTTACATGTATCTCCGCCAATGTTATATACTGCATAACTTGCACTTATTGCAATAAGTTATACATCGGCGAAACAGGAAGACGACTAGGTGACCGATTCCGAGAACACCTTCGCGACGTGGAAAGAAATGACAAGGACGTATCCAAACCAGTCGCTAGACACTTTAATCTTCCTAATCATTCTAAACAGCATATGGCAGTTTACAGCCTTTCCTTACATCTAGGCAGTTCGGAAAGCCGTAAAACACTAGAACAAAAATTTATCTTCCAAATCGGCAGCCTTTATCCCCACGGAATCAATGAGCGCTTTTCATTCAACTAATTTATTCGTCACCATATTCCCACCAATGGCGTAGCTCCACTTTCTGCATATAAATCCACACACAACCCACAATTCCTCCAATCGCTCTGACGAAGGGCTAACGCTCGAAACTTCAGCTTTTTTACTCTAATTTACTTTAATTTACGTTTTTAACCCAGTTGTTAACACTAAATTACCTGCTTTACTCTCCCACCGACGCAGCACCACAGTTTCTTTAGAAACTTCCCCTTTACCCAGAATAAACTGGTTTTTTTTTCTCCTTCTTTCTTTCTCTTTTTCTATTTTTTTATCATTTCACAGGCTGTAATGGGACCCCCTCCATACGCAGTATCCCAGAAGGGCATTGTGTAAACAAAACAGAACATTGTTACTGTCCTAAGAGATTACTGATCATCGTTTTAATTTGAAATTGTTAGAGAGGCTAACCAACTTTAACTGAGTATAACTGTAGAGAATATCTTTCTCTGATTGATAGCGAGTAGAATTCAGGGAGCGTTCATTATTTAACGTCTGGGGGTGGGTCGGAGGACTCTGTACTATTCTAATGACAACCTCCCCCCTTCACCCCCTCCTCGTTGCAGTCAATTTTGTATAGTCACTCCCTTTATACTATATTGGCGACGAATAATCCCCAATCTTTCCCCCTGAAAATGATGTGATCCCCTAGAGAAAAACTCTACCCGCTCCCTCCCCATGAGGATAAACAATGACTGATCCCTAACGGTTCTAGGGAACATTTATATCTGTAGGAGTTCACACTAAAATTAACAATTGGTTCATACGTCAGCGTGCGTTCATCGAGATATGAAGCACGTGGGAAGTTTGGAGAGCACGAAAGGTGCGTAAGAGTTAATCGAGGCTACACCTCGAGCAACTCTAGCTAGCAACTCTAGCTTCTTGAGTGCTCTCCAAACTTCCCAAGAGTAGTAATATGGAACAGTTATTAAGGGTTTTCATCGCTTCTATAAGATGAATGAAGTTAAAGGGTTAAAATATTCAAAGTAATTCGAAAAACTAGCTTCTTCGAAGCTTAAAAGGATAACGCAGATGAATATTGTAAAAGTAAAATGGCCGAGACGTTTTGCATTATGGTACAAGGGTTAACTTTTGGTAAGAGCCCTACAACTAACTGCCTTTTGGTAAACTTGTCAACTTTTATATATTGCTTTAAAAAAAAAAAAAAAAAGCTCAGAACAAAACTGGTGTTGATATTTCCATTTATTTTTTTCCTCAGAGGGTACGAGAACGAATGCTACAATCTTATTGTTTCTTAGCGCGGTTCGTATTTCCCGGTAACGCTTTCGTGAGTCGCCGAGTTCAACGAGTACCTTCGTTGCCATTTTCCATCTCATTTTTCCGGCTGGGCAGTATTTTGAAGCAAAGACGTCGGTCAGAACCTCAAGCTGACCATTAACTAATCAATCCTCTGTTTTCTCACCCTCAAACTATTTTGGTTGACAGAAAAATGTTGGTTTCGAAATGAATTTGTATAAGCAAGTGTCATGAAATCGCTTGACGGGCGGCCTAAAACCCGCCTGGAAAGTTAAAACGTGAGGCATTTGGTTACAACTAAATTAATCGATGGAACATTCATTCATTTAATATCTGAATTCTCTTAAACAATTTGTTCCTCGTGGAAGGGCGAGCGAAGTTTTAAGTTTTTCTACAAAGATGCTCTCACTGAGTCTTTTCAATTCCGTTCAAGTTAGACATTCCTACCGTAAATTGCTCAACAGAAACTGAGGGAATTAAATGAGAAAAAGCCGCATTTAAGAGCGCGCGGTCCAAGGCATTTCGCATCGGAAAAAAGTTTCCCTCAAACTCTGCCCAATAAACTATCTTTGGTAACAAGTAAATAAAACCACATAAGTTTCTGGAAATAGGTTAAAATGAAATTTTTAGAGCTCTCAAAAGTCAACCTCAACCCAACCCAAAGTTTGACCTCTTGCGACATCGAAAATTTCAAAAGTTGAATAGCCCGGTCCTCGTATCACACCGCATGCAGCAAGAAATATTTTATATCCTTAAACTTTGCGATATGTAAGGTGTATAAAATGCATTTCAATTTTGACATTCGTTTATTCAGAGGCTCGTCATAATTGATTTAAAAACACTCGTTGGACAGCTTTCTGAAATTGGTCAAAAGTACTCTTTCTTTCTTGGTTGATATTGCTCAAGTCCAGACCAGACCATTAAAAACTCCGCTTGATTTCTGCTAATAAGATGTTTGGCTGCAGAAAAATATAAAAACATCTTGCACTTATTGATTTTCTTAGCAGAGTTGACTTCAAACTTTTAGCGATATCGCTAGCGTGACAGCCGATTATGCAAATTAGTTTATTGAGCAAACTCCGACCGTTTTATATGAGTAGCTTGATAAATCTTAGATTTTATCCATTTTAAGTAGATAATATAGTAGGACAGAGCTTTAAGACCACACTGATTAATAATTTAAACATTTTAAAAGGCCAAAATTTGACACATTTTATTATCTCGTGACGAAAGACGTCAACAACAACGTATCGAAGATCATAATTTGATTAGCGCTCGCAAACTCTTTTTTAAAAATTTGGCTTCTGTTATTTCATATTTGAGTTCTGATAGCTTACGCTATTCAAACCTGTTTGAAAACTTCAAAACCAAACCACAGGATTCTATTCAGTGTAACCGGTTGTAGCAGCACACACTGAGATACACCGTGACCACTGTCACGCAATTCAATTGTGTAATTATCCTGAATTGCTTCTCCCTTCGAAGTAAAGCAGCGATAACATCGCCTTTTGGATCAGAATTCTGGTCGGCAGGAGTAAGAAAAATTTTGTCTCCACACCTGTCTTTATGAAAGTTTCTATTCAGAACTCTAGGGAGTTCTTGTGGAAAAGGACCCCGCGATATTTGAGGAAATAAATTATTATGTTACGTGTCACCTCATTTTTCCAACAATTAGCTATCAGTCGCGTTCCTCAGAAACTTCGCTCGGAGACTCACGAGGAGTTTCTGGTTTGTTTAACTTGCCTCAGAGTACTGACTCAATAGAGAGTCATCTCTGCTTAATCCATTTTTCAAAAGAGAGTGTCACAGAAGGAGAGCTTATCTTTGCAAGGGCTGGTCTGTTCGATGTAGAAGACTCAGTTATGGCAAAATGTGGGTCTATGGGAAGTTCTGGCGCCAAAGTACAGCCTGCCAGTATCCGACACACCCTGGTAGCGATTCCAAAGGGGTAAAGAGCCGGTAAACTGTCAATTTGCAGGTGTCAAAGGCCACTTCTAAGATGTATGGTGTTCTATAGAGGTTTAGACAATACTGCAGCTAAGGGAGCGAATGGTTTCAAGGATTTTATCCAAATTATAGACGAATTGGAACGCTTGGAAGCAGAAAAGGATTGGTGTAAAGAAGTTCGGAAGAGGCTTCGGGAGAGCAAGTTGCATTTGAAGACTACATACCGTAATCACTGCGAAGAGGACGATAGCAAATGTGCCGATCACTGTAGGGTCTTTGCACTGAGCGATGCTGGTGACACTGACTTTCAGAAAGTGTACACAGTGAAATTGAGTAAGTATCAAGCGGAAGACTATCTGTATGAAGCAAAAAATGCCGCTAAGATCTTTGAATGGAGAGGGCATATCCTGAGAGCAGAAAACCAGGATCAGTACAAGCGGCAAATTGTTGATACTTTGAAGAGAGATGAAACATTTCTAATAGTTGACTGGACAATGAAGTTCATAGCGATGAAGTTCTGGGAAAAACAGGCAGAATGGTTTGCCAAGAGGGGAATCAATTGGCATGTGAGTAG